GTCATGGCATGGTGCCATCCGGGGCTGTCGGGTGTCACTTGGGTCACACACAGCTGCTGGCAGAGCAGGGAGGGTGGGCCACAGCCATGGGGCAGACCTGGACGTCAACAGCCCAAACCTTGTGCAGGAGGCTGTGAAAGAGGCGTGGAGGTGGCTTTTTCAGCCTTCTTCAGAAGCAGCAGGCATTGCCAAGTCAGGAGACACGATACTGAGCAGGGGGCATTTTGGAGAACAGTACCAGACACCTCCCCTGCACGTCCTGCCTGCTCAAGGGCAGACCTGGGTCCCTGGGGGGCTTTTTTCCAGTCCTGCCAGAGTTTTTGAATATCTCCTAAACCATGCAGCACTCTCCCTTCTCCTTTCTGTCAGATCATTTTTGGGGGCGATGGGAGAGGAGAATTCCTACCCCAAATCCCCAAATTCCTGTGTGATTGCAGCTTTCAGATTTATGCTCCCCAAACCGGTGCTGTTTTTCTCCTCTATTCTCTCTAAAAATGCTTGCCATGCAAATGGTGTTTTTGCTCATAAACCTCAGCATCACCTAACATAAACAGCCTGGCAATCTTGCTGTGAGGATTTTGGCCAAACCCAGTTGCAAAACCTTTACTGCGCTAGCTCTTGGCACTCACCCAGACACAGACTGGTGTTTGACCCCAAAGCCCTGTGGATCCGATGTGCAGATCTGTCCCCGTGCCCCCGGAGCAGCTCAGTCACGCCAGGGCTTTCGGAGATGCAGGAAGCCCAAGCATATGCTGCTGCCGCAGCCAGCCGAAAATCAGCACAGAGCCTGCCGCGGCCTGATCAGCTGGTCACGGCTCCAAACAAGAAGCAAGAGCCTTGGGGCTACTTGGCTGTCATTAAAATGGTGTGGATGGAAGGAAAAGTCTAATTGACTGAACAACAGCCTGTGCAGTGTAATTAAACTAATTGTGGCTCTACCTGCATGGGTCAGAAGTGATTTGTGTGGCTGTTACGGCCCTGACAAATAAGAAGTGGGGCGGTGTGAAGGCTTTTTTTTTTTAACACGCGTTTCCACAAGTGGTTATGCTGTCTCATTTCAGGCAATTTTACGCCCTTGAAATTTTTGGTTTCTGTCAAATTTGAGGAGACTGTTAATATTTCACACCGAAGCAGGGGAAAGCAGAAAGGTCACCATTGTTAGCGGTTTCAGGCTGCAGCATTCCGAGTAGAGGTAATATATTTTCAGGGCTATTTTCTTATTTTCTGTGAAACTCCTCAAAAATGAGGTAAAGGACTGTTTCCAGAAGGCGTTGCAGCCTGGCTCTGCATCCACTGGAGATCATGCCGTTGTTCCTATTGACCTGACCAGCAGAACACCAGGCCTTCTGTAGGACTCTGAGACTCAGGTCACTGCTTTGCTTCCAGGGATTTATGACCCCAGCTTTTAATGATTATTTTGAAAGCCTTAGCTTCAGTTTATGATGTGTTTGGAAGAAGCTGAATGAGAAACCTGCTGCACAGTCATGTTTTGACCTCAGACTTTTCGACCTTGTTTTCAAGGCCTTGCCGAGCACTGACCACCTCCAGCTGGTAACTCTGCTCTTATTGATTATCATTCTCAGTCCTTCGGGCTTTTTGCTGTGCCCAAAGCACTGTGTGCTTTTCAGAACAAATAATGTGACATGACAGAGAGCCGCTGCACCCACTCTGTTTTCTTCAGGCTGTCAGCACAGGGCAGAGGCTCATACTTGTGCTGGAGGAGACCACGTAGACAAGTGGGCTGATGTATCTTGTCCTGGTAGAACCACTTCTCCAGTGTGTGAGCTCATGTCCCAACACAAGAGTCAAACACAGTGCCTGGGAGCAACCAATACCTGGATTTTTCCTGCTCAGAAGTGCGTGTATACACGGGAAAGGCATTGCGTGGCCAGGCTGCAGGACACACGTGGACCCTGCCACCATGGCTGTTGGGCAGATCTCAGGGGACACCACAGCTCTGCGGGGCATCAGACTGCTCTTCTCAGCACCTCTCAGTCCTGAACAAGGTTGCTTTTTAAGACTTCTGTGCTTTACTTGAGTATTGATGGTTGGAGAGATTCTGAGACACCTGAGAGCAGACGTATGGGAACCGGAGAGATGGTCATCCACAGCCTGGAGGCTTTCTGGAGATTTCTCAAGAGAGGTTACATGTCCTATTGCTCACCCCCCTCAATGAGTATCACCTGTGTGCTGTGGAGAGGGATGGGTGGAAAAGGACATGTCCCAAGGCTAAACGTCTCTCTGATGGATGTCTCTGACAGATCTCTCTCTGACAGATGAAAAATCTATCAGACTCGATTAAATCTTAAAGTGCAGGTGCAAAACCTGGCTTGGGAAGCTGGATACACTGTGAGAAACACTATCTCAAACTTCTCGTGCTCCTGTACACTTTGCCTAATTATCCATCACTATAAGAGGCAGGACAGTAGGTAAGATGGACTGTCAGTGGGTACATTTCACTGTTTTTCTGCTAGGTCTCTTGGCTATGGAGAAACATCTATAAATCTAGTTAGAGTCTGGCAGAATTTATTCTTTCTGAGCTTTTGATGAAGGAAATCACTTCTCAGGTTAGAGGAAACTGCCAGTATGGTCTGCTGCCCCTCTAACATCCTAGCCCCAAGCATATGAAGTATGGATCTAGTTACAATATTGCTCCAGCACTGTGGCAGCAAGAACAGAGCGAAAGAGCACAGGAAGAGCAAGATTTACGAGATATATATTTATCTCATACATATATATATATATATATATAAGATAACATCTTACCTACTGCTTTTTTTTTGTCTCAGAAAAAAAAAAAAAAAGAGTCAAAATGGCTTCTGCTGAGCCTCATTTGTTATGTCTCCAGGCATAGCTAATTATCCTGACTTAGCCCAGCTCTGAATTCTTCCCAGGGGTTTTGGTGCTATTTCTTCTGTTTTGATTTATAAATTGTCTTTATTTTACCTTCCTCCTACATGCTCTGTATAATCTTTGTGCTCCCTGCCTCACTGAGGAGACGGGAGTTGGTGTGACAGTGCTATCACAAAGTGTAGGATGGGAAGAGGATCCATTAACTGAAGCCTTTTTGTCGGGTGTCCAGAAATGCTTTCTTCTGGTATCTGCGTCATGGGCTATTTGAAACTGTCTCTTCTCCCCAGGAGGCTTCTGTGTGCTGTCATTTACTGCTGGGCTTACCTGCAACCATCCTCGGGCTAAAGGAGTTGTGTGGCTCTGGGCTGGCTTTGAAGCTCTGAGGGCTTTGGCTTACAGCCTTTATTCTGCAGCAAGGAGTATTCTGGCTTCTCTGTTGACGTAGCAGAATAAATTATAGTTATTTTCTGGCTCAGCCATACTCTTTGCAATTGGCAGTTTTTCTAACCTCTGTGACAAATTCTGTGGAGGAAGGAAATCCATCTGCTGTAGTCGTGGGGCGTCACTTGTAGTAAGCAGGATCCGATGCTGCTGTTCAGCCTGGCTGGGAGGGTGTCTGTTCAGAAAGCTTTAGAAACTCTTATGAGTACTCTTTCGGGAGTACTCATAAGTATCCTGTGGGGCAAGTGGGTACTCTTTGCTTACTAGATGAGACTGGCAAGTATAAGTAGCTCAAGTAAGGCCAGCTTTGACTACTAGACTATGCCACCGCTTCATAGTATGGTTTTGTTTCCTGATAGACCCACCTGACATTTATTTCTGATCTGTGTATCTGGCAAGGTTTTTGTCAACAGACTTTTTCTGGGAGACTGTAGCACTGGCTACCGTGAATATATAATATTCACTTTTACGGAAAATGGCCTGGGTGAGAGCCAAGGCCATGTTGGCCCCAGGCCCCATCTGCTCTGGCCAAGGGCAGATGCCGAGGGGAAAGGAAACAACCAGGAGGAGGACAGAGCAGTGCTTCCCTGGAAGAGCCCCTCAGCCTCCAGCAGCTCGTAGCTCAGGGATTTCTCCATCTGAGGTGGTAGCTCCTCAGTTCTGGTGAAAATCCTGGTGGATTCTACTCATGAGCATCGCCTGATCATCATCTGGTGAGTGCAACATCACATGCGTCAGGGTGTAGAAGGAGGCACCGAAAAGACCAGGGATTTCCTTGCCAAGTATTGCAGTGATCATGGCTGAGTCTCTGCCACTTTGTGCAGCCCAAAACAGATCCCTCTGCCATGCTCCAAGGAGCTGGGGAGTGTGTAAGTGCTGAAAAGGCTGCTCTCTCCCTCAGCTGGGCATCTCTGCCCTGTCTGGGCCTCAAAAACCTGCATGGCTTCTGATTTGGCACGTAGGCCCTGGGCCCTGCTTAGACACCCTGTTGGAGTGCACAGCACAGCTCCAAGGGCCTGCTTAGATGCCTTCGGGGTACTTCCACAAAGTACTCATGAAAATCCCTCTTTTAGGGCAATGAGTAGCAAAGCAGCACGTGTCCATAGTGGAGGTGTTGTTGCAAAGCTACATGGTTACAGCCATGCATGGGTGGCTGGGCCACACCATCTCAGGTGGCTCTGTGTACTCAGGTTTGGGTCCTGGACATGGGGGATGTGGTACTTCTGGTGTGCCCTTCTGTCCACTGTCTCCTGGACATGCCAGATATACTTCTCTGCCCAGACTGCTCACCCTGCTGGGGTGTCCCCATATGCCCGCTGGACCCAGAGCTTTTCACAGAGCAAGTGTTGGGATGAGGAGGAGATGAGAGGCGAGGGGTGTGCTATATGCTGATAACAACCAGGTCTGAGCCCGTTGTTAGCAGTCTGTGTGACCATGGCTCCTCAGTAGAGCAAAATTTCCCTCCTGGTTGCCTCTGGTGAAAGCAGGGAGGCATGGCAAGGCTGTCCTGATGTGCATGAGCCTCACAGGTCCACCTCAGCCCAGTGAGGTTCTCCCTTGAGCCTGACACACTAACAGGGTAATTGTTGTTTTCCTTTCTCATCAGGAGATTTGCCCAGCACTTCCCATTTCATCCGAGCTTGGCCAGGATCAAGGCTGCCCTTTCTGCTCCTCCAGCCCCTGAGCAAGAGCAGCCATACATCTGAATCACCATGGGCAAGATGGACAACACCTCCGTGGAGCTGAGCTCTCCCTCCGAGGTGAAGCAGGCAGCCCTGGAGGAGTCAGAGCCCATCGCCCCCGAAGCTGTGAGCACCAAAAAGAAGAAGGAGATCCCAGACAGGGGTTCCTGGAAGGGGAGATTTGACTTCTTGCTGTCCTGCGTGGGCTATGCCATCGGGCTGGGCAATGTCTGGCGCTTCCCCTATCTCTGCGGCAAGAACGGAGGAGGTGAGAGAAACGCACAGCGCCTGCACTCACCTCTGAGCAGCCTTGTCTCCTGGATGGGCTCTGGCTTGGTGTGGGTCTGTATAAATGGCTGGTGGGCATGTGGAAACAGCACTGGGTTAGAAATCAAGAGAGATGGGAGGTCAGCTCCCTCCTCAGTTACAGACTTTCTCCATGACCTGGATCAAGTCATTAAACACTCCTTTGTGTCTCAGCTTGCCTCTGTAAAATGGTGCTGCTCCTTCAGCCTCAGCATGGAGATGCTTTTGGGGGTGGGAATATGTGCTGCTTTGACATCCATAGAGCAGACAGCCTTTTCTTCTCCTCCCCCATGCCCATCTCTCTCAGTGTTTTTGCCTATTAGTAAAATATCCTTCCCTCCCTCCTTAACATGCTGCTCACCTCCTTGGGCCATTCCTCAGACTTCTCCACAAATCTGAACTCCTCCACCTCACCTTTCAGGCTGTACATATAATTATATCATCATGTTAGCCTTCCTATGTTGGTGTTGCTTCCTTCTTAGCTCTTGGTTGCCCGGAGTCCTCATCCCCAGGGTCATGTTTGTTTGTGCTGCTCTGAGGGTCTCCTCATTTATCTTCTCCTCACCTTTTTTCTTTTCATTTTGCCTCAAATTTTATTTTCAAAACCTGCTTCATCCTTGGTTCTCATGAATTCTCATGTCTCCAGCCCACCCCTGCTGTCCCTGGCATAGGGGGTGTAAGTGGACCTTCTCCTTCCCTCCTGGGAACCTTCAGTGGTCTGCCTGTGTAACTGCATGGCTTTTAGGGGAATCACGGCCCTTTCTCTGAAGCCTGTGAAGTGAGTCCCAGTGGGAGACCAAGCAGTTTTCCATTTTGAAAAGGTGATCTTGGTTTTAGTGTGTCATTTCATAGGGAGACACAAGTGAGTGGCTGAGCTGAATGAGGTTTGTGGGCATCAGCCAGATCTATGCAGGGGAGCCATGGTGCAGATTTCCTGTGTTTATCCATCCATGCTCTGGCACGAGGCTGTGGTGCCCACCCTTGTACAAAGCTAGCCCAGTCTTTGCCCTGTGATGGCTGCATGATCTCAAACACACCGTATCTATGCTGCCCGTCTCTTTGCATTTAAAGGTTGGGATGGTGATACCTATAATTAGGTGAGAGGTTTCTCTGAGCTAAAATCAATACAATTTATAAAGCCAGCTGAGATCCTAAGAGGGATGGTGCAGCAGAGGTGCGGACTGCTGTAATTAGTGCCAGCAAAGTGGGGTAACCTCTGACCTGGCAGCTGCAGGCATGCTGAGGGACCAGCCAGCTGCCAGCAAAAATGCCGTGAAACAGGGGAATCGGTACCTCTGCTCTCATGCCTTGCCTCACCTGCTGGGTTGTGTGGCTGGTGGTAGCCTGTGCTGCCTGTTCCTCCAGCTCCATCCTGCTCTGGCTGTGCCCACAGCTGGCAACAAGGAGCAGCGAGCAGCTGACGCCTGGAAGAGGCAGAAGTGACGCATACAGGCGTCACTGGTCCCCGGTGGGGAGCAGTGAGGAAGGGTCACGCTGCATCTGATGGCAAGCCAGTGGCCAGCACCTGGGCACAGCTCCAGCAGAGCAGACAGAGGGTAGGATGCTAATTGTGGCGTCCTGCATGCGTGCTGTGCAGGGCACAGGCTGCTTCCATCGCACACAGGACAATAGGACTGGATGGAAATGTCATCTTACTGCCATCACGTTGTATCAGCTCGTGGCTGATTTGCTCTGCATTGTAAATGGGAATGTAATTAGGGGATATTCACCCTGGGTATGGCAGCCCCATACAAGCCCCATCCTCTGCACGGAGCAGGCTTCATCCAGAGAGATGCCCGGGCTCCCTGCTGGCTCTGCGCGCAGGTGGATGAGCCCAGCGATGACTAATGCTCAGCTCCATGCAGTCCTTCTGATGTCAAAAGGATTTTACTGGACTCTAAATCGACTCTAAATGTGGCTCAGTAGGTACTAAAAATTGTCTATGAGATCCTGAGCTTGAATAACTTGAGAGAGGAACGTTTCTTTAAATAAGCATCATGCACTTCTCATTTACACTTTGAGATGCCAAGAAAAGGCACATAACAGCTTGTAATGCTCAACTTCTGATTCGTGGGCAGTGTTCACTGGCTTAGAGATTAATTGTTATTCCTTGCTGTATGGCATTAGGAGCTGGAGACTGCAGATAGATGTGGGGCTGCATAGTGAGGCACCGGCATGCAGATTTGAGGTAAAAATTTCCAGACTGATTTCCCCTCTGGCCGTACAGCCCCTTGTGGGTGTTATCAGTGCCTGCTGGGGAACCTGGCCCTGCAGAGTAGCACTGTTGCCAACTGCCCTCAGTTCAAGTCTGCAGTCTGGCTTGTAGATTTTCCCCAATTCTAGAGGATTTTTGGTCAAGCCAGGATAACTGACCTGGGTCCAAAAGTTTGTCTGTTTCTGTTTGCTTGGTTGGTTTGTTGGTTTGGTTTATTTTCTCTCTCAGTAGTCTAATAAAACCTTTTACAAATCTTCCTGGCCTGCTGCAGATGAAAAATGCAGGACCAGGCAGTGGCCAAATTCTATTAGCTGCTTGCACAGAAGTGATCCAGGCACTGTGTCCACTGATAAGCTCAGTCCCCAAGCTCTACAACGGCACCAAGGCAGCATCCACAGACTGGCTTCTTGCGGAGCTCCTGGGGCTGGACCTGTCCCACGGGTAGGATGCTGTGTGGGCAGCGCTCCTCCTGCTGCCACGCTCAAAGCTGTTGGCTCCTCCTCGCCAGGCTGCTGCTGGAGCCGAGAGCCTGTGCTTGCACGCCAGCTTGCAGTTCAGGCTGAGGGACATCGAGCTGCTGGCCTGCAGCGTTTCCTCCCCACCACCCGCTGCCAGCTCTGCTTGCACAGTGGCCCCTGCCGAGTCCCACGCCGGGTGCTGGCACCCGGCTCTCCCAGCTGGGCTCGGCTCCTCGCTTGGCATGCAGGAGACCTCAGCTGGGTGCCCCCGGGCCAGCGGCCACGAAATCCTTGCTGCTTTGCTGCCCTCGGAGAGCAGCTGAGGGAGCCCGGCTCTGCCAGGTGCAAGCTGGGCTGCAGCTCTGCAGGTGGCTGTGCTGGCTGGCTCCATGTCTGCTCTCCCGATAACACCTGCGGAAGAAGACATGGGCTGACGGCTCAGCCCTCCAGCTGGTGCAGGCATCAGTGCCACCCTGGAGACAGCCAGCTGCTGCCGTGCTCTGTGTCCTACTGCTATCTTCTGCAAGACTTTGTCCTCCTCAGGGACAATGCACATGCACAAGGAAGCTGGGAAGTGAGTTTTGTGCCAGGTCCTAGAAGTCAGGATGACCTGCACATGTACACCCTTCAAATCACATGGCGAAGCTCACCTATTTTATTTGCTCTTCTAATATCAGGGTGCAAGTAATATCTCTGTTGGACGGCTGCACTGCCTCCCTTCTAGTGACAAGATGATTTCCAAAAGGATTCGTAGAGAGGAATAATGTTTTCACCAGTGACTTCAAGGGTAAAACCTAGGAGATGGGTGGTGAGGTACAGAGGGCTCGTAGAAGAGCAAATACAGGCTTAGCCATAGTTTTCTTAAGAGACTGAAACAGCTGCAAACAAAGAAAACGGTGGTCAATGCCAGATATTCCTGTGCCCTTTTCCTCAAGGCGTAAAATTGTGTGGCACTGCAAGACAGAAAACACCCACAAGAACGAGTTACCAATGTCAGTACCTGGGCATTTGGGTTCATTGTCACACTGGGCTTAGCAACACCCCAAAATCTATCAACTAAGTGAGACAGGCATCATCTAGCTATGATGTATGTATATATGTATACGTGAGATACAAATACCCACAGTGGTATGAGTACACAAGCAGAAGGCAGTGGTGCTCTCAGTGGGAGACTTTCCAAACTCACCAACACCCACTGTTGCCTCTGAGCAAGTCTGCTCATCATTGTGTAGGTGCTGCTGGAGAAACTGCAGCTGGAGGCATTTACTTCTCAATAAAATGGGGAGCCACCTGATAACACTTCTTCTTCTTTCAGGGGCATTCCTGATTCCCTATTTCCTGACGCTGGTGTTTGCTGGGATTCCCCTCTTCCTGCTGGAAACTGCTCTCGGCCAGTATACCTCTGTGGGCGGACTGGGGGTCTGGAAATTAGCACCCATGTTTAAAGGTACTGTACTGTAAGTTTGTGGAGGGGATGGCACGTGGCTACAGACAAAAAGTCCTCTAATGGCATGGGAAATACATCCCTGGGGAGCTGGGGTGGGATGCCAGGTCAGCAGGGTTTTTTCCACCTATATTTATCAGGCTGTCCTTGACCCTGAAGCCTGGAGTCACTAACATCACCGTGCAGTCAAGCACTCCTGTGTGGTGACAGAGCTCTTCAAGAGCAGCTAGGACTTGATGGAGGGGCTCTGGCTGCAGAAGACCTGCCCCTACCCTCCCCATGTGGGCTCACTTTAGTTTCCTGAAAAGGCTGTAGATAGAGTTTGTGGACCTGCTGCCATGTCTGGAGTCACAGCCTTCTGGAAGGGAATGACAATTTAGAAATGCCTTGGATGTGGGAAGGAGAGGTTCTGCTGGGGAAGTGGCCAGATCTTGTTTTTGTGGAGCTCTCTCCCTAAAGTATCTCTAGCATACTGAAATTTTCACCCAATGGAAATGAGTGGGTGAGAAATATAAGGGAATAAGCCTCCCTTGCTGACCAGTTCACTTGAAGGCACAGCATATATTTTTCTGTCTCTGCCACAAAGCTTGTTGTGGTGCCCAGGAGCTCAGCTGGGCACCAGAAACCTGAACTGATGCTGTTCTCTGCCTTCTTTTCCAGGAGTGGGCCTGGCAGCTGTGGTTCTCTCCTTCTGGCTGAACATCTACTACATTGTCATCATTGCCTGGTCTCTCTACTATCTCTTCAACTCTTTCACTGCGGTGAGTCACAGGCATTTCTGTGGTGTGGTGTTGGATGTGCAGTCCTTACTCCCTGTTTTACCAGGAAGAGTTGCTCATGCCATGAAACACACGCTAGCTCCTTGTAGTGTGTGCAAAGAGACTTTCTCAGCATCCTGCTGGACCCTTCATGTAGAGGTTCCTCAGCCTAGAGGCAGCCCTGCAGTGCCTATCACTGATCACTGCCCACCAGAGAGGATGGTCCTCTGGAGGGGATGGTCTTATCCACTCTCTGCAAGCCATTCCCTACTCACATTGGTCTTTAAAACCCACCCTGTGTCTCTGTTGTATGTCTAGAGCTATGTGAAACCAAGAGCTGCACGTTCCCCAGCTGGGTATTGTTACAACTTGTTCTCATTACGTGGGATTTATCTAAGGTCCTGACCTTAATTAGTCCTCGTTTACACTTGTCTTGATAAATTAAATCCCCAGAATTTCTTCTGCTTGGAACATGATTCAGAAAGCATTTAGACATGGGGTTGTGACTGTCCCTTAACAGGTACTTCAGCATTGTGGTATGTGGTGGGCTCCTCTCCTGCAGCAGGGTATTTTACTGTGTGAGGTTCCCATGTTAACACCCCATGTTAATTTCTTGGTTTCTGAGTGATTTTTTTCCGGCCTAGCAGCTGGGAAGAACTCCCTTAACTCTCTGAGCAACCCGCAACCTTAAAGACATCAACTCTATGGTTCAAATGGGATGATTTTCATTTAAACATAAGCCAGAACTGCTTTTATGAAGGTTGTGCAACCACTTGCACTTTTTGTTTGATCAAAAGATTTCACATACCTCTTAACACTTTAGCTAAAATGTTCTGTCTGACATTCCCAGCTGTACTTATACCACCTTTACTCACTGTAGGCTGCTGGGTCCTGAACAAAATTGTCAGCAGTGGATGACTGGTACACCCTCATGGGATTCCCAAATGAACAAAATGCTGAGCAGGATGCATCTTAGGATGTGTCCTTGGCTTGTTGAGGTGTCACAGACCTGGCTGGTGACAGTGTCAGTGTCTCCACAGGCAGCTCCAGGTGTCTGCTTTCACCTGAGATGCTTCTCAACATGCCAATTGCAAAGCTAGGCTGATGCATGACCCCTGTCCCTCCTACATTTGACTAGGAGCATTTGGAAGCTGAACAAGGGGCCCAGCTTGCCTTGTGCAGCTTCTGTCCTCTGAGATCCAGAGGAAATAGAGCAGCAAACAAGTCCCCCCTGCCCACCCCTCCTGGAAGAGCTGTACAGCATCTCTGTCATGCAAACCACTTGGTTGAAGGGCTGCTGCGTGGCTCTGCTTACAGGGGCTGGTGCAAGAAAGCACTTGAAACACAGATCATATTTTTTAATGGAGTCTGCATTCATGGATGGATAGGAATGGACACAGACGTATTCCCAAAGGCTTTGTCGAGCTAGAGCCCGAGGTCTAATCGACAAAGGGAAATCATCCAGAATAGCCCTTCTGCATCCGTCTACGTGCTGTGGACGTGCCTGCTCTGTGCTGGGGAAATGAGGCTGCTGCACGTGGGGATGTGTCTGAGCTGCTCAAGCTGGGCTCCCTTAGCCACGGCACTACGTGGCAAGGGCACGCTGCCCTGTGTGCTCATACAGCCCGTGCTGCTGCAGCCCCAGAGCTGATTGCATCCAACCTGCAGCAGTGTGCTGCCGTCACGCTGCTGCCCACGGTGTAAACATATCCCGAGAACCCCTCTGCACCGCTTGAAATCAGGGGAGGGGACAGCATGAAATAACTACTGCGCTTCACATTTGCTCCCGAGCTTATGCTGCAACAGTTTATTCATACAGACAAGCCCTCAGCCCCCAGTTCTCAATGACACGTTGCTTTTTACACATTGGAGCCTGGTATAAATAGGAGATAAGGAACAAAACAAGAGTTTATCCTTTGTGCAGTAAATTCCAACCTCTTGTTGTGTGAAAATAGCCAAAAGCTGAAGTGATTATAAACACAATATCTGCTGGTAGCTATTTTAATTAGTAGCTATTAATTACCAACTGTTAATTGGAAATTGCTTCCTATCCAGGGAATCGCTGCATTTTATTAGAGCTATGACATTGCCCTAATCATGTCTTGATATTATTTCCTGGAAAAGCCAGCGTCACACTTCATTGTTATTCTGGAAAACCATTTAGTGCCTTTGGCTGCAAGGCTCCTGCCCATCCGGATGAACCGCCCATCCTCTTTGAAATAAATAAATAAATAAATAATGGGTTTGCAGTTTGAAAGAAGGCAGAGGTGGTGCTAACTGTGTGCATGCTCCCCAGGACCTGCCGTGGCAGAGCTGCGGGAACGCCTGGAACACCGACCGCTGCTTCTCCAACTACTCCCTGGAGGACACCACCAACCTCACCAGTGCCGTCACCGAGTTCTGGGAGTACGTCCACAGCTGCCTATACCAGGTTTCTCCCCCGCCGTGGCCGTCCTGCCTGCTGGGGCTGCTGCCCTCCCTGTAAAATCCTGGCCCTGGAGAGCCAGCCCTCGGCTGGGGTGGGCACGGACATGGGGTGTGATGCGTAGTCAGATAAATAGGGAGGATAAATGGCCTGCCTGCATCTGTTCTCCTTCCCTTAGTCCCTCACAATGGGCTTCAGGTTCTCCTAGGGGTTTGCAGGCTCTTGTGCACACCTGCACCTGGCCCTTCTCTCTCTAGCCACCTCTGGGATCTCCCACCCCTCTGTCCCCGAGGACTGGGCCTCCCCTTAACGCAACCTCTCCCGCCCCTAGGAGGAACATGCACCAGATGTCTGCGGGCCTGGGGGAGCCCGGCTCCATCCGCTGGCCCCTGGCCGGCACGCTGGCCCTGGCCTGGCTGCTGGTCTACTTCTCCATCTGGAAGGGCGTGGAGTGGACGGGCAAGGTATGTGTGGTTTGGCTCCGTCGCAATGTCCTCCAGCCTCAATTTACTCTGAGTGCCTATAACTACGGTTACGGTGTTTCACGGCAGAATCACAGTAGATGCTATTAAATTCTTGACATTTACCTTACACGGCTGTAAAAAATTGCTACCGTGTTCATGGGAACTTTCAGTCTAAGCATAGAGAATAACTGTTCCCTGCAAAGTCACGGGTCTGAGCGCTCAGTCTCTTTGAAGATTTTGGGAAAGAAATTTTCAGAGATGACTTATGCTACCCACCTCAGGACAGTTCAGGAAGGTGAGGTCAGTTCTAGGCTCCCATTTTTTGAAAATTGGGGTCTCTTAAAATGCTGTGGGCTGGAAAACACTCACTGCCTGGTTTGAAAATTTCTCTGCTGCCCTTTAGTTATTGGTGGGAGACTTACAGATGAGAAGCATATGGTTATTCACTGAGCAGCATTTCAGCCCAGCACAGCGGAGAGGTAATTGCTTAGTTTAGTGAAACGGTGATGATGAGATACTGAGGTGTGTTATTTAGAGCACAGCGTGTTGTAAAGGGACGGCATTATGGAAGGAATAATCTAGAGGGAAGATCAGAAAGAAGCACTTCAGAGGTAGGTCACCTCCACTGCTGGCTCCTGTGGGGGATCTCGGATGGGGTTTTGCTACACGGCCACAGCAGAGCCCCACTGACTGCTGTTATGTGTTGATGGATGGCACGTACTTGTTATTCTCTGAAACACTGCTGAAAAGAAAGCCAAGATGGCCAGTGTTACTTGATGTGTTGGACTGGAGGAACACCAGCTTTAGCTCTGCAAAACAAGGATGCAGTGACTTAAAGGGATTACTTCTGTGAACTAAATTTATCCCTCTGCAATTCCCTCGACTTTGGGCAATCCATCCAGAATTTCGCCTGCTACTTTTGCGATTAATATGTCCTTGTATGTCATTGGCAGAGAGGAACAGACAGAAATGATACTTTCATGGGAGTGGGAGATGGAAAACACAGGGAATCTGTTGGACAATCTCTTCTCTGGGGGCTGTACGGGCTGCTCTCCCATGCACGGGGACCCTGTCCCCCCTCACAGTGGGACACAGTGGCCACAAAGCCACAATGGGTAGGAAGAGGAATGGCTGATGGCCTCTCTCCCACTGTGTCTCCTGCAGGTGGTGTATTTCTCAGCCACCTACCCCTACTTCATGCTGTTCATCCTCTTCTTCCGGGGAGTCACACTGCCAGGGGCCAAGGAGGGCATCCTCTTCTACCTCACACCCGACTTCAGAAAGCTCTCCGACTCTGAGGTTGGTAGCCTGGCTCTATGTTGGGAGCTCTGACATCCCAGCTATCTCCCTGTTAGTGTTCCCTGGGATCTTGCTTTGAATAATTTAAGAAAGAATTGAAAACTAAATGGAATTGAAAATGAAATGGAAGAGCTGCCCCATTGAAGTTGTCACAACCCTCACAGTTTGAGGCAAAACTCAGGTCCCTAATGGGTAGAAAATGAGTGCCGCAGATGTGTTGTAATTAAATGATATTTAAGTGAGAAATTACCACAACAAAGAGGCCTCCCCTCTGCACCAGGAGTGCCTCATTTCCCTGATCACCCTGGGCTGGTGATTTGGCCCTGCTCTGGTGTTCCCAGGGAGAGGATGCCATGGTGGCACTGGTGTTGGGAGCTCAGAAGTAGCACAAACACAGCAGGACACACAACAGCACTTCTTGGAAGTGTTAGATGGCGAGTGATGGTGAGCTGGATGGCCAAGCTACCAACCCTGATGTCTGGAATTGGCCCCCTCGGTGGCCCTGCATGGAGCTGCTTGCAGCGTGGAGGGTGGGCCATGCTACCTGGAGGTTGGGTGGTGGTAGCTGGCCACACGGGGCAGGACAGGCTCGAAGCTGGCTCTTCCTCCTCAGGTCTGGATGGATGCAGCCACGCAGATCTTCTTCTCCTACGGCCTGGGGCTGGGGTCCCTGATCGCGCTGGGGAGCTACAACACTTTCCACAACAATGTCTACAGGTCTGTTGGGTTCTCCTGTGTCCCCATGTGGTGGGTGCAGAGAAACATCGCAGCCAAAACCACACAGCCACCAAAACCCCTCTGCCTCGAGTGTCTGTGGGGATGGAGGGGTCACAGTGAGTCTGGGAGCCGAACCCCTGTGTCACCACGCAGCTGAGGGGCACGCTGCCACCTCCCCAGGGGAAAGGCTTCGTCTTCTGCTTGCCCACCCTTTGCTTCTTGCCTCTCTGGTAGGGTCTTGCAGCTGGTTTCTTCTCTTCTCTTTTGCAGAGACTCCATTATTGTCTGCTGTATAAACTCCACAACAAGCATATTTGCTGGATTTGTTATTTTCTCTATCGTTGGCTTCATGTCACACATCACGAAGAAGTCGATCTCAGAGCTGGCCTCCTCAGGTAAGCAGACACAGCAGCACTGCCAATAAGGCTCAGGCTGTGTTTCCATCCCTCCTCCTCCAAAATCCCCTCTTTGGGCTTGCATTTTTCTGTTTTGATACTTGGGGGGGTGTCCCTGAGTTAAAATGGAGAAGAATCAGATCTTAATATTTTCCTGGGAAACCTTTATGCATTGTGTATGTACAGAGGGCCGGGTCTTTCTCTGTCATCGGTGTAATGACACCACTTTTATTGGTGCAACCAACACCACTTCACACATGGGATGCTCCTGTCTTGTCCACAAGCCAAGCGTGCAACCCTCTTTGCATGTCCTCCCACCAAGATGGGCCCAAGGCACCTGTGGCTGACATTTATTGCACACCAATTCCTGCTGCCAGGGGCATCCCTGTCGGCTTTTAATGTTCACCTCCTTTCAGTGGTGAAGTTTTATGTGCTTTTGCTACAGTGAAATATTTAGGCTGTTTGCTTTCTGAAACCTTCCTTGGAGAATAGATGGATCCTCACACATTGCCTGTGTTCTCAGTAGATGTGATCAGAACTTGGAGTCCCTTTTCCATGTGAAATTTAAAAATTGTAATCTCAGAATATTTTTTTAACCTAGATGGGACTCTGTCTTTTTGCCCAAAGACATATTTTGAAATTGCTGTCTTCTCAGAGAAAGCTTTAATCTCAAGCAACAGCATTTTGTGATGGGAGAGAAAAAAAAAAAAAAAAAGAAAAAGATATCAGGAAAGTTACATCCAGCTCTGAATTTCATTTTGTTTATTTTTTTCTAGCAAAGTACTCCAGCACCATTTGGTAGCAGTAATTTGATGACTTTCTTTCTGGCAGGAGAAGAAAAGGCAAAGCATTTCTGCAGTCATTGCTGCTTCCCCTTCTCACCACTGTTCACCCCATGGGGTTGGTGTGTCACGGGTGAAGGCTCAGGTTGTTCTAGCTCCTGTCTCAAATTCCTGCACTCCTTGACTGCCATCACTGACTCTCTCTCACTCTTGCTTGTCACTCAGACTTTCTACCGAATGCCTTATAAACATGGGCTCATCTTTCTTTTCACTGCTGCAGGCCCTGGACTGGCTTTCCTCGCCTACCCACAAGTGGTCACACAGCTACCCCTGTCCCCACTCTGGTCCATCCTCTTCTTCTCTATGTTGATGATGCTGGGCCTGGACAGTCAGGTGAGACAGCCCAGGGCCAAAGCAGGGTGAGGTACAAAGGTATTTTTGGATGTGGTGGTGGTTTTCCCTTCTGCACCTTGGGTCAGTGATGAGTAGCTATTTGATGAATAGCGTCATTGATGCTATTTCATTTTGTGTCCACGTGATAACAGTTTGTGGTTGTTGCCATTCTTGGTATTTGGTGAGAAGCTAATTTTGTGTGCTTTGGATTTCCTTACCGTGTCATGGAGCACCATGACCAAACTGCATTTCTGGTGAAGTACTGCCAAGAAAATGCCACTACTTTGCTTAATTTTTTTTTTTTTTTTTTTTTTTTTTCTGGTAGTTCAGCATATAAGTAGCTACCCATGCGAAGTAACCCCTTAGGGGTGGGATGTGCACTAAAACCAAAGGCTCCTTCAAAAGAGTGTGTTTGGTCTGCCACATCCTCTCCTGTGCCTACATGGTCTTCCCTTGCAGTGCAAACCACTGGCACAAAATGGATGCTGTCCCGGATTACATGTAGCCGTCATAAACCCGAGTCTAGTTCAGAATCAGACATATTCCTGAAATGTCACGACTGGTTTCCAAGAAAATCTGATCAGCCAGACCTAATTTTCAATTATGGCACACTCCCATAAACACATCATGAAGCTCACAGCTGCATGACCACAGACATTATTTGGCAAATAATTTCAAATAATGACTAAATGTTCCAAAAGAAGCTCCATTTACAGAAAAAAAAATAAAAATTGCTCTCCATGGATTATTCACTCGGCTCTAGTAAATAGTTCGAGACATGACAATAAGCCCTCAAAGCACAGCATGGAATTTATTTGCTGCATTTGCTTCTCAAATACCACTTGAAATTCTCCAAGTCCCCTCCGCCAGCTGGTCTCAGAGGGCAGGCAGTCTGTGGGGGGCTATCGCTGCCTGGAGGAGGAGCAGGGAGGGGAGAAAGCATCAAACAGAGAACAGGCTATTAAAAAAGTGCAGATAAATAGATGGGGAGAAGCCTTCCCTGTACATGCTGGAGCTCTGAGTCGATCAAACGTGTGATTTAGAGAGTGGCAGCCTGTGCATCTAAACCAAATAACATGCACGGGCTTCAATAAGAGCTGCAATCGCACATATGTTTTGAAGCATCTATTAAAAGAAAAAAAAAAGGTGGGTGGAGGTGTGCCCGTGCCCACGAGCTCAGCAGAGAGCATTCTGCAGATGCTGCCCAGCTCCAGCTGCCTCCCTGCCGTCGTGCTCCTCTCCTCCGCAGCGCGATGAGCGGAGCCGTGACCTACATTGGGGCACATGCGCCTCCCAACCGTGCCCCCAGTTGCTGCTCATGGTCCTTCGTGTTTGCTCTGCCTCTGATCTACCCTGGCTTCAGCTCTCTTGCATCTTGCATAACATGTTAATGCTTTCTTTTAACCTACCAGTTTCCAGGTCAGGCGTTTTCTCCCCAAGGGAGCTAGCAAGCCTTTTGACTACACGCCCGCGTCTGTCCCATGTGAGGCCGCCTCTCGCAGGTTATCTGTGAGGATTTGCTGCTGAGAGCAGCCAGACCCATGCTCAGGCTCCCCGCTGCACAGCTGGCAGCTGTGGTTATACCACCCCCAGGCCCTGGTCCTGCCCGGGTCGGGAGACTCCTTCTGGCTGGCACGGCCGAGGGGGACTAGCAAGTCTGGGGTTAAGTGTGTGGGCTGGGAGTTTCGGACAGGGAACCAAGGTCTGGGATTTGAGCCTCCTTCAACCCCTGTAGCTGCATCACCTCCCAAGCCTGAGGCAATCTTCAGTGAATGGTGTGAAGGTCACTGCCTCTTTTATGCCCAGAATAAAACAATGTACCACCATTTGGTTCCCCATTTTGTCTAGCTAGCTGGACACCCCTGACATCCACCCTCTCTCCCTGGTCCCAGCCTCTCTTCCTTGCCTGGTGCCAGGCTGCCCAGCGCTGGCCACGCAGCCACGTGGAAGGAATAGCTTTCGACAGGGTTGTTTTTGTCACCCTGGTGCTTCACACCGTGGTACAGCTCAGTCCTGACTCTTCCAGACAGCGAGCCGGGTGGGATGGGGATGCAGAGCTGGCTGTCAATGAGTATAAAGGCAGCTTAACCCCTGCCTGAACGGCAAAGGATGCTTTAATAGCACTTGTGTCCAACACAAAAGGCTTAGTTCATTATATTTTTGAGTCAAAGCAATAGAGCTTAGGCTCTCTGGGGTGCAGCCTTCCATGCTACACCGCGTACAGATAAAACCCTGGGTAGAAACATTGCTCTTTGCCTCGCTCTGTGCCCCAGAACCAACAGGCCGTGAGCTCTTCCACTGTCCATGCCCAGCAGCAGGCATGACTCAGACACTCGGCTTTTCTCCACGGATTTTTTCTAGTGCTATGCTGCTCTTTTTAGGCTGTGCATCTCTACCCCTACCTCCACTGATTATTTTTTTTCTTCTTGTCTCAAATATAAATCTAGATTCTTCCTGTTCAATCTTCCTGATTCAATCTCCCTGCTCAAGCCTAAATCTAGAAATGCCCCCTTCTTTCTAGAGCACTCTCCCAGAGACAGAGAAGTCCCTGATACCCGAGAGCAATGAAAGCTCTATCATTGTCACTGGCTTATGCACTTACTGAGGGTGACGAGGGGAATGGTCTCGTAAGCTTCCCAGCATTTTTGCTACAGCTGTGATGTGCTCTCTGGGGCAGTGGTGGGTGGCCCTTGAGAGGTCGGGGAGGAAAGAGGAAGCTTTCCATGGGTGGCAGAAGGTGGAGATATATCCCAGCTAATTTTAGGCATTTAAGCTCAGTCCTTTTAATTCTCCTCTATGTTCAGTGAAAGGGTAGAGACACTTTCAGAAGATCATGAAAATCAACGTTGTGCAGAGCCTTCTCTTCTAGTGTCTAGAGATGACACTCGAGGAAATGAGGCTCTCAGCACTGAGGCTAAATGGAGGTGGGGGTGTTGTCAGGCTCAGATACTCACAGACATGTCCTTGGTGTATATCTTTCACCACAGTTCTGCACCGTGGAGGGGTTCATTACAGCCCTGATGGATGAATATCCTCACGTCCTGAGAGCTAGGAAGAAGATCTTCATTGCGATAGTCTGCTTCATCTCTTATCTCATTGGATTCTCCAACATCACCCAGGTACAGACAGCTTGTACCTCTGCACTTTTCCAGGCACCTTTGCCTATCACAGTAGCATCAAAAGCTTTGGGAGAAGTGACAGCACTCATAGGACTAGTGCTGAACAAATGGGCTTACCATGACTGTCGTGTCTCAGGTGGCTTAGGATGCCTCTGTAATTGTCACCACCATCTAAAGCAGAGAAAAATAAGAAATCCTAGTGAATCCCCGCTTTTCTCCTCACCACTGGCCATGCCAGAACAAGCTGGCTGATTGTCTGCAAGAGCACATCGGTTTTTCTTCTGGGAACCTGATTCCAGTGGAAACATTGCAGTGCTCACTCTGCTGTCCAAGGAAATTATCATTGAAGCCAGCAGTTGTAAACAGTAGCAATCCAAGCAGCTGGCTGATATTGTCAAGCATAATCTATAACTAAACTCCTTGACCCTGGCTTTGTCTCCTCAGGGTGGCATTTATGTCTTCAAGCTCTTTGATTACTACTCAGCCAGCGGCATGTGTCTTCTCTTTCTTGTCTTCTTTGAGACCATCTCAATTTCTTGGTGTTACGGTAAGCACAAAAGACCATGTTTCTTTCTTGTCTCCACGGGCACACACAGTGAGATTTTTCAAAAGCATCCCATGGTGAAGCCAATGAAATATTTGCAGCTGAAAACAGCTCAGGCAGATAACTCCAGAAAATCAGGAGCAGGAGGCTGTCATCTCACTTCCCCAGGCCACCACAAAGACCTCTGCACAAGCTGGCAGATGCCTAGGGTCCTGCCCTCTGGTCCCTCCCGAGGGCACCAGGGCCATGAAAGCTGCTAGGATGAATCCGTGTTTGTGTCCTCATGTCCTGACTCCTCCAGATAATGATTCTCATGCATTGTCACCCTCTCCCTGTGGCTGGCCTTTGCTCTGTCATGAGAAGAGCTGACGACCGTGGCGCTGAGATGGGATGGTTTTCTCCAAGAGTTGTTTCTTCTTGTAGGTGTGAACAGATTTTACAGGAACATTGAAGAAATGATTGGCTACAAACCTTGCATCTGGTGGAAGATCTGCTGGGCCTTCTTCACTCCTCTTGTCTGCCTGGTAAGAACAGAAGGAACCTATCTGCAGGAGTGGGTCCAGATGGGCCTCTTAGTTTGGATGGGCCATAGGAGAGACACTGTGTTCTCAATCCACTATAGGTCTGTCCATAACTGCAAGGTGCTTGGTAGGCTTATCTGAGATGGGTGACGTAATACAAGACCCTCTTTCACCCTTTCTGCTGGAAATCATGAATAAGAAAGATCCAGAGTGATTGTTTTAATCTGAATTATGCTATCAGTTCTTCTTTCTGAGATGCCAAGAGATAAGCGAATAATGTACTGTTTTTAGAAGCTGTTACTGGTACTGGAGAAGGTTCTCAGCTGCTGCAGCTTCTGCCTCAGTGCCTAATAGGCTTGTCAGAGCTCAAGACACCAGCAAATACAGTATAGCAGACTGTGGAGCAGTTTTGCCTTTGCTGGTTCCCACATTTCCAGCAGGAGTAGTACAAGGAATGGTGTGAGAAGGTCAGTGACAGGGAGCTGAGGCCAGTTAGTAACCAAGTTCCTGACTTGGTTAGGAACTGCTTATGGGGGCACTGCTTATCCGAGCAGTCTGGTGGAGAAGAAAACCAGGGTTATTCCAGTTCCAGCATTTTCTGTAGGATAATCGGGGAGAAATGATATAAAATTAAGAGGCGATGGGCTGAAAGCATCTGAAATAGTTTAAGGAGCTGCTGGATTTCTGTAATACCGCTGTGAGCTAAGAGGATGATGAAGGAAAAAGATGAACAGATGGCCTCTGATTTTGCACACCCTCACCTGCGATGGCTGGTGCTCTTTTCCCAGGGCGTGTTCTTCTTCAGCGTGGTGGAAATGACCCCTCTGACACTGGGAAAATACGTCTATCCTGCGTGGGGGCAAGGCATTGGCTGGCTCATGGCTCTGTCCTCCATGGTGCTGATTCCAGGTTACATGCTGTACTGCTTCTTCACCTCAACAGGGACTCTCCGGCAGGTATGAATGGCTTTGCCTCTCCTCTTCTGCTTTCTGCTTAGAGTTAAGCCTCCTGCTGAACCGACCCAAGGAGAGCCAAGCAGAGACTGCTCTGACAAAGGCTGTTGAGCCAGAGCTTTTTAGTTGGGTGCTGCAGGAGCCCTGAGCGTCCCCTTTTCCAGGAGGGCTCAGATCAGCCCCAAGTCACAGACTAGCCTCTGGCTATGTGGGCTGGCTGGAGAGGAGTTCCCAGCACAGCTGGGCACTGGAGCCCTGGAGGAGATTGAAAAAATAAAAATAAAATAAAAACCCTTGAAATTTACTAACCTAGAAAAATCCCAGTTCCCACCAGTCCCCGGACATGAGCATGGTTACCTGGCACTTCTCAGCAGAGAAATCAGCATCCTCCAAGCACAGAGCTTGAAATAACTCAGGGCTAAGACCTGCTAATACGGAGACATACAGTGCTCGTTTGATATGTGCTGTGCAAATGGCAGCCAGTGAATGAGGGGGTAAGAAGCAAGGCAGACTTTTATACGGGAACTAAAATACCTGCAACTCTTCAATCTTGTTTAAAACTTCTTTGTGTGTGTGTGTGTGATTTGAGCAAGGTTTTTATATAGCGGTGAATCATGAGTCTCTGTATGTCCTACCTAGTGATTGCTGTTAAGATCTCAATTACAGTGTTGACGCTCAGTCTTGCGAGCACCGTGCACCACGTCCCCGGCTCGGTGCACAAGAAATCTCTGCAGGGGTGCTGCTGATTTATGACTTCCACAGCTCAGCGGCAGCAGCCAGCAGACGCCACCTAAACCCCTTGAGTTTACTTCGTGGATGACGTATCTTGAATAATGTTTAATGTGGAAATGTTTGGGCTGGATTCACTGGGCTGAGGTCAGCCTCAGGCTCCCTACCTCTGAGGTCAGGTGGATTTGACTCTTCTTCCTCCCAGCTCTCTGTTTGGATGGGCTCTGGTGCAGGAACTGCGTGGGTTTGATGTCTCAGATCTGCTTTCCATTTCTGGCCTGAGGTCATTTTTTGGTTCTTGCCATTGGGCTTGAGGCCAGCCTTGAGGTTTCCACAGGACTCGAGCCACTCAGGTGATTTTGGGTCAGTGCAGATCCTTCCTAAGATGTATAGAGGGCTCCTTACCACCTTGTAATAAGAGCTGAAAAGGGGGGAAAAAGGAAGCGTGCAGATACAGATATGGTTTTAATCCCATTCCCAGCAAGGATGGGGATAACACATCTTGGGGTCTGGGGGAGCCCACACCAACCTGTGCCCCCCAGGAGTAGCTCCACTTCTGACCACGGGCTTGTGCTCCCCGGTGCCCATAGATCCAGCAATAAGCAGCAGATGGCAGCAGGAAGAAAGCAGGCTTTGGTGTGCGTGCGTGCGTGTGTGTCGGAGAGACAGGGAGAATTTTTGGCCTCTTATATGCGCAGATCCTGGATTAGTTTGTAATAGAGCTGAAGCTGGAGGGAAATTAGATGCCAATGCTGAATAAAGTGGTTATGACAGACAGGGAAGATTACAAGTCATTTTGATCCTACCGAGCATGAATGCGAGGGGGAAAAAAAAAGACCATGAATGGCAGAAGCAGCTCAGTGAACATTTCAGGGACTTCACCCAGCAACAGCCTCTTCAGCTGTGTTGGAGAGTAGGAGCTTGTTTCCCTTTGCTGGAAAGAGCCTCTTCCTGACTTAGCGAAGCCTATTCAGGTCAGGCTCAATCCTCCTCTGCCTTCTCTTTGGCAATTTGAAGCATCAGTCCCTCCCTGACAGGCAAAAGTGATTCATTTGCTTTCATCACTCCTGATGCTCAGTCCACACGCCTCCAGTAATGACTTGCCCCTCCGTATCTTCCTGGGTTCTTGCTTCTTTTTACTTTGCTCTGCAGTTTCCATTTGATCAGTTTTAGGGTGACGGGAATCACTGCTGGCGCTGAGGTTTGTGCAGGGGGACGGGTCTGATCTGCATCAGAGGCACGGACCGTGACCTTGTCAGCATGCTGCAGCTAGCTAATAATGTTCCATAATAAACCCTAGCTGCAAAAAATAGGGGAACTCGGAAAATGGGTCTGCTCTGAAGTCTGTGACATTACAGCTCTCTCCTGTTCCTGCTTGCAGCGGGTACTGCCTGCTAGCAGCGTGCCTGTGTTGTAAAGCTGCTCCCTGCATTTCAGGTAAAAGCAGGCGCTGCTGTGCTCTGCACAGCACCAAAGCTGCAGGAGTAACCCCTGCCACACACACCGTCCCCTCGCGCTGTCACTGGGGCCACCACGAGGCTGGTGATGGGGGTCCCAGCCCTCAGCTGCTGCCGTCTCAGCATCTGATGAGCTCTCTCTGCTTGTTCTGCAGCGTTTGCAGCAGATGACACAGCCCCAGCCCGAGGTGCAGGTGCAGGAGAATGGCCTCCAGCCGAAGACATCCTTGAACGGGAGGGTCTCGGATGCTGCCGTCTAGGAGGAGAGCTGGAGCTCCTTGCCCTGCCCTGTAGCTGCCCGCGCCATGCCGTCCCTCCAGCTCCTCCAGCACAGCCCGCTGTCCCTGGCTTTCTGGTGGCTTCCCAGGAGGAGAAAGGACCTGGCGGAGGAGCCCCTTGCTTCTCTTCCCCCCCTCCTGGCTGACCACGGCTCTGCGCGAGGTGCCACCAGGGCGCTGTGCGGTGACCGTCCTCATCGTGCAACGTCCTGGCCCGCCTGGAGAGAGGCGATGTTCTAGAGAGCTTAGACTGATCGCCCGCCACTTCTCTCTTCTCCATCTTGCCTTTCTGCATGATCCCACACCGAGCATCCCGTAGCACACAGCTGTGCTGCCACCCCAGCAAGCCACCAGGTTCAAATCCCAGATGATCATCAAGTGATGTAGCATAAAGCAACTCTAGCAAACACATTGTTGGAGGGGATGTGGCAGGACAAGCAATTCCAGTGAGGGGCCCAGCATGCCGATAGCTATAGGACACCACCCCAAAATTGGAGAAGGAATCAGGAGAGGCTGTGCTGCCCACAGGTGCCATATCTCAGCCCTGCATGTCCCTAGGTGTTGCCACCCCACCCATCGGGCTGTCCCCATGAGCCAGAGCTGAGCACAGAGGCAGCCTTTCTCTCCTGGAGCGCCCTGCCCTTTGCAGCTGCATGCAGTGGCCACCTCCTGACCCTAAAATGCAGTTAGGAGGGCTCTTTGCTGGGTGTTTGCCCTGTTTCCTATGCTGATCGTGTTCTGCTCTGTGTGGAGGCCAGTGGTCTGCTGGGCCATGGTGCAGATCTGACCCCAGTCTGGGACAGGGCGATTCCTGCCAAGCACCCTCCTTGGCTACGTCCCCGGGTCAGAGGCAGCAAGATGCAGGGTTGTGCCCATGGGTAGCGTGGCTTCTACCTGTTTTGGGAGATGGCATCACCAAAACCCTGGGCTGTGGAAGACAGGAGCTCCTGGTAGGATGCAGCCAGCAGTAGGCTCCCCCATGGAGCGGTGCTGACTTCCCCTGGGGAGCGCCTGCACAGGCAGCACACCCAGCACCAGGCTGGGAATTGCTGGAGCTGCTGCAACACCTCGGAGCTCTGGCTCCCCAGGCGAGGCGGTGAGAGCAGCACGCTGAGTGCACGGCCCTCATCAGGCCTTGGGGGAGTTTTATGCAGCCTCCAGCAACAGGAGCTGAGAGCAGGCCCCATCCCGCATCTCATCATTAGGGTATTTGTGTCCAAAAAATCACAGCTGAGAGAGAGACACCAGGGAGCTCTGGGTGTACACGCTGGGTCTCATAAAGCTGAAAGCCAAAAACTAGGATTTCATAGTTCAGCACAATTAATCTCAGGTAGTTACAGACATGTCATCTTTCCCTGCCCTGTGATTTCAGGCACTCATGTATCTGACATTTTCTATTCCAGTTTCACCTGTCTTTATAAACTGGGTGATGAAGGAGCCCAGAGTCTTCTCAAATCCTTTGAGAGGGGCATCTGTGTTGAGAACAGACATTACTCTGATCTTTGCAGCCATGACCTTTACTAGAAACCTGCTTTTACTTATGCATCCTCATCACTCCCTCCCCTTGAACACAGCGTGGGGGCTTCCAACTCGGGTAATGGGCAGGAGTCAATGCTTGGGTGAGATCCTAAAACCATGGAAGATCTCGGCTGTACAAGGGCTGTACATCCAGGCTGGTGTGGAAGGAAGGGCCCAGAGAAGAAGGCCAGTTCCCAGTAAGGGCTGCTCCGTGCCATCCACCAGCAGCTACTGGTGGCCACCTCCCTGCTCCTTCTGCCCCCAGCAGGTCCTGGGGCAGATCCTGCTCCCCTGCTCCTGCTCCTGCCTGCAGCTCTCCTGCCTCTCCTCTGCCCTGCAGCTCCCCAGCACCTGCCGGTGCCTCCCTCCCGCCGCAGGCGGCCGCTTACCATAATCCGCCGTGAAACCTCTTAATTTTAAGGAGCTATTTAGGGAGCTGTGCTCAAATCCCTTCAAAATCCTCTTTTTCCCGAGGGCTGTGAGAAATAAAAATGAACGCCGTGCCCCCACCCTTTGCTGCAGCAGCGGGAGCTGAGGGGTGATGCAGAAGGCAGGATGGCTCCGATGCTGCCCGAGTGCCACATCCCCCAGCGACACGGGCACAATCCTCTCCCCATTAAATAACGAGTTGGGTGCAGTTGTGCTGTGCAGGGAAAAACGAGGCCATTTGGGACGAGCAACCTTCCTGCATCGTTGAAGTGGTGCTTGTGGGCAGCACCTGGGCTCTCCAGCTTGGTTCCCCCCATCCAGAGCAACCCCACGGCTGCTGGCTGTCCCCGCCGTGCCCCTGGGACAGAGGTAGGAAGGGGGCAGGGGGCAGCGGGTGGCATCGCAGCACCCCCATTGCAGCACTGCCGTGGCAGCGTGCCGAGGGCAGCGCTGGCTCCTGCCCAGCCCCTGTCCATCATCCCCACGGTGCCATCAGCCAGGAAGTATCCGTGTCTGGAGACGCTCAGGAGAGGTTAGTGCTCCCGCACCGATACCTGCCGGCCGTGACACTGATGGAGATGTCTCCTGACAGCCCGGCCCACTGCCAAGAAAGCGGCACCGGCCTCACCAGGGCCTCAGGGACCAGCCCCAGACGCTGTGCTCACTGCCGGCCAGCCACGGGGTGAAACCACAGCACCTCTCAGGTGGTATCTGTCCCCTCCGTGGCCCCTGGGGACCAGCAGCCCTCATCCCCGCTGTCACAGCCTGGCGTGTGTCACCACAATGTCCCTGGCCCTGTTCCCGGGTCGCCACCTGCCCAGCCTGCAGCACCGACACTTGGATGTGTTCTTGAAGTGGTTTTGGTCCCGCAGGAGGGAGAGAAAGGGAGCTGGCATCTCCGTCCCCTGACTGCGCTTGCTGTCAATGAAGGGATTAGGAATTATAATCCACGATTTGCATTTTAAAGCGGCTTTTCAGCTCTGTGTGGGGAACTTCAGCCTGGTGCTGCCGGGGAGCTCGGTGGCAGAGCCCCAGCCACAGCAGCACAGACCCTGCGGCAGCGTCCCTGGGGCTCCCCATGGCAGGAGCTGCTCCTGGGACGCCGAGTCCCAAATTGCACCATCCCCAAGCATCCTGTGGGCCCTGGGCAGCTCCTACCCCACACCTCTAGCATCCCAAGCCCTTACGAGGCACTGTGTGCTTCCTTTCCTTGTGCTTTCCCCCCTGCTCATTCCTTGAACTGTGTTTGTGGCAGACCTACGTGAAATGTCTTTTTCCCTCGGCATCTCTGCTGCCTTTCCCTCTGCTAATTACCACAGCAGTGCCTCTTCTAGGGCAAGCTGACAGATGGCCGGGGGTTTATCTTTGAACAAGCTATTTAATAAGAGCTCCTGCTTTTCCCTTGCACATTTCTTTTTTGGCCACATGTCCTGAGCTGCTGGACGGGGTGTGCTTTCCACTGGGGATGCCAGAAGATGTGATGGCCAAGGTCAGAGCCCAGGGGATGTTTTCTTTTTCTTTCCCTTTTAAAGGGAAGATAATCCTGCCTGGGCCCGTGTGGCCCTCTCCCTGCAAAAAGGCAGAGGTGAGAAGTGTCTGAAACACTGGGGCAGGTCCTAGCTGCACAGAAAGCTGATGTTAGTGCTGAAACCAGCACACTGCCTGCTTGTCCTGGCAGAAATCTGGCTGGCAGGGACCAACCTGTGCTCCTGCTTGTGCTGCCATCACCTGAACGGCCCCACCCGTGCCCCCCATGCCATTGCAAATTTCTGTTTTGCAATGAACTTGTTGCTGTTTGGGAGGATCTGTCCTTCATGAGCAGGAAGGCCCAGGGACACAGGACTCGTGTTTTCAAGAAGTCACCAATGTCTGTGCCATCCTGCCAGAAGGCAAGGCTGGAGCATGGGTGATGCACAAAAACAGACCCTACTCTACGTGTTTGAGAATAAGCCCAGCTCATGGATTGTAAGCTTTAAGGCAAAAAAAAAACAAAAACAAAAACAAAAACCAAAAAACCACACAACTCCTCAGCCAGTTTGTAACCTCAGTTGCTCTCATTAGCTGTAGGAAAGATGCTTCAAGACCACCAAATGTTTGGGCTCGTGGTAACCCTGCTGCCACCACGCTGCTCCCTCAGGGCTCCACTGTTTGTGTGGGCTTGGGACGAGCACCTCACTCCAAGAACAACAAATTGCATCTCAGGCTTCTCTGCGGAAAAGATTGGCATGTTTTGATCTGCTCTGAATGTACAGTCGGTGCATTGTGCATTATCTACACTATAGATATTATGTTGTACAGATGCAATGCGACAGTTGTGGTATATGCTTTCTGGGTTGTAAGCTCTGTATTGGCACTACCTATATGTGCCTACACTGTATCCATCATAAAGGCACCTGCCACCTTCTCAATAATAGTAATAGTGTATGCACATCAGAGCAAGGTAGGAGTATATCACATATAGACAATCTGTTTTTATTGCTTTCATCTTTACAGCCAGGTGTGTGATCTAAACATCAGGCAGAAACTTCTCCGGATAAACTCCTGCTACAAAACATCTTAGAAAATGGATGTGTTTGGGATGGACTGATATATAATATATCCGTGGCACACAGAAACATAAACGGAAGCCTCTGAATCCCTGGGAAATTTCCTGTCTGTGTCCCAGAGGGATTTCTGTCCTCCCAAGTGTCTCACCGTGGGCCTGGGGCTCTAAGGGGTTCTTTGAAGCCAGCAAAGAATTTGCAACCTACAGACTGCTTCTTCAGCAGGTGCAGTCTGACCCCGCACGTGTTGGACTCCCAGCTGCAAGAATGTAGGTTGCCTTCCCCTGGCCTTCGCAGAGGAGAGCTTGCTTTGTGTGCACGTGTTTGTCTCGGATCATGCCTCTCGTCTTTGCACACAACTTTGCAAAGGTCGGTTTCATTAACCTTGGGGTTATGCTTTGTGTAAATATGCACGTACATCTGATTTGCATGGGAAATGTCATTTTCCTTACGTGTCCCCCATCCAAATGTTAATCAAGCCTGAGCCTACGTAGCTTAGGAAATGTGCTGTGATGGTAAGTGCAGCCAGCACAGCTGTCCCGCTCAGACAGAGGATGGCTGCATATGCCTGACATTTTTGTACGGGCATGTTCGGCTGCGTGGATAGCAGTGGCGCCTACATATTCTCTGCCATATAGCCTCATACGCTGGCAGATGGTGTGTGCATTAACACACGCTGTGTGCCGATGTCTCTGGGTGCATGAGTTTCTCTGCGGCCAGCTGGCGTACCACACATGCATTGGCACATGCGGCATGGGAAGTTGCTCTCCTCGCCGCAGCGTGCGCGCACGGCAGCACACGCCTCGCACGGGTGCAGAGCTGCACCGCTGTGGGCAAGAGAGGCTGGGGCTGGCTCTGCTGCCCGCCAGCAAGGCGTAAGGAAAGGAGCTGCAGCATGGAAGGGCCTTGCCTCCCCCCCTGCCCTGTTTTTTGTAGTCATAAGCATTATACCTACGGATAACAGGCTCGCTCTGGGGCTGAATTTCACATTGCGTTGCCTTCCCTTGGACAAGATTATTTCATTCCGATTTCCTCTCGATCCGGTCCTCAGAGAGCCTGAGCACTGAGCTAGCTCCTGCTGCAGTCGCTGGGCAATCAGCAGTCTCGGCAGAGGGCTGCCCCCCAGGCCTTGGGAGCACAGCCTTGGTGTGTCGCCCCTGCGCCTGTGCACACCGGCGGAGCCCAGGGACACAGGAGGGGGCTGAGGCAAAGAAGACATTAGCGCACAAGTGACATATCTCAATATAATTTCTAAAACTCTATTAATTGAACAGATAAAATACTTCTGATCTATTTTCGTTGTTTTGTTACAAAATATTTGCCATTTGGACTCTTAGCTAGGTGTGACCACACCACTTTTCCCCGAAGGAAGCTTTTCTTGGTGATATTTACAGCAGAAAACAGGTACAGACAGACAGGTGCTTTCAACAGCCTACACACAGGTAACACTTCTGTTGTTAACTTTGTTTTTTTTTTTTTTAAAAAGACACATTCAGATGGGATTGTGACTAGTGCTGAAGAGCTGGGTGACTTCAAAGCTGCTGTCCCAGGCATGGCTGTGAAAGAGCAAGCAGGACAAGGACAGCTCTAGCTCACGAAACACTGCCGGCAGTCCCTGGAGCCTACAATAGCACAGTGAGGCGGCTGGTGGAGCGGGAGATGGGGGAGCTTGCTCAGCAACTCTCATTTCAAAGCAGAGACTCTCCCAAGCAGCAGATTTCTTGATTTAGGGCTCAGATTAGTTTCGGAAACCTCACAAATAGTTGCAAGTTAAGCCTTCTGAAAAACATACAGAAAAAAAAAACCTCAAACTCTTGCAGGTCAGGGGCCCTCAAATGCTTGCAAAACTGGTGGTGCTTTTTTTTTTTTGTGAAGAAGACTGAGTATTGACAAAACTCTAGTTGTGGACCACACCCACAACTTTCGTCTACAAGGAGGTGAGACACACAAACAGCACTTTGAAGGCCTTGCAGAAAGCACTAACAGTTGCTACTAGAGTAGCCCAGTCTTCAGCATTAGAAGTACTACAGAAGTGGACAAACACTGCAGTAAGCCCAGCTTGTTTGCGCTAAGCGCAATCCCTCTGTCAACCTTTTTCATCCCTTTCTAAGTGGTATAAACTAACCAATTTCACTAGACCTGCACCAGCAACCTGGGCAGAGCCTGAAGGTCTGTGTACCACAGCTCTGCAGACTGCAGTAACGCCTCGCTTCCTCCATCTTCCAGCAGAGACACCTTCCTCTTTGGCCACTGAGCACCAGAAACTTACTGCAGAACGCTCTTTATTGGGTTTCTCTTTCCACCTCCCCTCCTTTTCTCAATACAGAAGGCTAGGAATTCTGCAGCCAGCAGCCACAGGTTCTTTAGAGTTGATCTGATCTCTGCCACCGCTCTTCCTGCCCGATCCCACCGCCTGAAGGATTGTGCTAGGTTCACGATTGGAATCACTGCTGTCAAAAGCTGGTGATTTTTCTGTGGTCTGCTCCCTCCAGGAGAGCTGTGGTGTACATTTAGTCCTTCATCTGACCGTCACTGACACGATCTTTCTGGCCTGCTCCCTGCCAACGATTAGGTTGTGTGCACGGGTGTCTACTCACAGTACTACAGCTACACCGAGCCTGTGTCTTCGCTTGCATGTGGGAGGGTTGTGGGAGCAGACAACACAATAGATCAGATGAGATGTAGACGTGCTTTAAAGTGCTTGTCATCCTTCTAGACCAACCTTCAAAGAAAAAAAAAAAATCTACATTTTGAAGTGAAGTCCGAAGGGCTCAGCTACACAGCAGAATTTAGAGCAACCTGTTTGATAGACCCTGGAATAAAGCGGTTTGGTATCTCTCCGGCCAACCCCAATGGAAGATGCTGCATCCAGCAGGCTAGAAGATGGCAAGGGTTTTCTATGTTTGCTTCTCTGTACAAAGCTGGAGGCCAGCATTAGCCTTTGCAAGGTCAGGGGATGGGAGCCAACGTGCCCTGAGAGATTGTTGTGCCTCAGGTATTTTGGCACTTCAGGTAATTCACTTCTATCCTTCACCCAGCGTTATGGAGTCTCACAGAAGGTTCCTTGCTTCTTTTTTTACATTCTTCTTTGCTTTCCCAATCAATTATTAAAGCAGCAAACCTCTCTGGTAGGAACTTCACAGACATTGCTATAAATATTTCATCCCCCAAAATTATTTCATCAAGTACCTTAAAGTTTTTGTTATTGTCACTTCGTGTTAAATGTCAAGTAAAGCCTAACTTATTTATTTTAACACACACACGCACACGGCCCCTCTGCGGCTCCCTGCACTCTGGGGGAAGATAAACGAGCAAGTGCTGCCACTGCTCTCAGGCAAGGCAGCGACTGCTGAGGAGGAAGGGCAGTGCTGGTGCCTCTCAGATACCTCCTTTTACCTCAGCAGGGAGCACAACGTGGAGCCACACACCACAGGGACCAGAGAGGGGCAGGTGCCACACGTAGGGTTTCCCAGGGAGCTGCAGGCAGGTGAGATGAGGCCGCAGCCTGCTGTGCCATGGCGTGGTGCCACCTCGGATGGACCTAGCAGCAGATCAGGCCAGCCACGTCTCAGGGCTCGCTGCAGGGTGAGGGGCTGAGCCCTAGCTGGGGCCACGGGCCTGTGGAGCGGGCGAGGACCTCTCCTGGGGCTGGTTCTGGAACATGGGGCGTCCTCATCGCCCCTGGGGACTGGGGAGGAGAAAGCTTCTCTGGTCTGGAGGGAGACTGGGCTTCTACTCAGGGTTTTGATATGATTTTTTCTGTCTTCTGCTTCCACAGGCCTCCCTGAGGCTATGCCTTTGGGTTTGTGGTCAGTACCTCTGCTACTGCATGCAGAAGCAGCAGCCTGTTATCTGGCCCCAGACAGCAAAGCAAACAACTCTGACAGTCCTGTTGGCACAGCTGGGGGTGAGGGTCAGGCTCAGAAACCAGCAGACCCGGAGATCAGCAGGCTCCTGTCCTGGAGGCCTGGCCAAGCACAGGGGAGCCTTCACCTCAGCCCCTGCCCGCTTCCCTGACCCCATCTGGGCATACACCCAGGTCAAATAAATGAACTCCTTCATCTGAGTGCTTCAGCAGAGCCAGTGGACATCCAAAGAGCACTGAGGGGTCCAGACCCTGATGCACTGTGTTTTTTGTCACTGACAACAGCCCCAGAGGTGAGCATCCTGGAGCAATGCTGCTGTGTGGCTTTTTCCACACAAAGTAAAAAAAATATATATTTCTTGCATCTGTCTTCGCTGACCCCCTTTCCGTCACATTTTTCACATCCACACCACTGCCAACAACACAACCCTTACCTCTCCTCACCCGATGGCTGTGTCATCAGCACCCGGTGCTCATGCCTCAGCCTCGCACAGGAAGGAAGAGCATTTCTTTCTTTCCCTCTTAAAATAAAAATGAAGGCCCTAAAAGGCGTTCTGTCCTATTTTAAAACCCTAAAGTTGATCTTCTTAAGCATCGAAGGGAGATACAGCGAGTGAGCGATACCAAAGCCTTTAAGCTAATTAATACCTTCCCTTCCCTACTGCTCAAAAATACTTCTTTTCTTCTAAAAATACAGCCATAGCTCATTTTTAATGCTGTCTGCCTTCACATCAATGTCCCCAATAAAGAAGAGGAGCTGAGCTGTCATCTCTATCTCAAAATCTTACCCTCCCCTCACTTTGAAGCTGAGATAGGGAGGAAGAGAGGAGAAAAGGCCTTGGCGAGCAGCTTTCCTAGGGGAAGGGCTGATGGAGGAAAAAGCATAGCCAGGTGGGAGATACAGATGGGAGCTTACATTGGTGGTCTCCAAAAGGCCCCTTCCCTCTAGCACGGAAGGAAGAGGCCAAGAGAAGGGCTCATCCACCCCAGGAGGTGAATGCAACACTTAGCTTTGCTTTCAGAATATAAAAAAGCAGGTGGGAAGGAAACACAAAGCCAGCTAGAAGGAGAAAAGCAGAGGTGCGTCTGTTTCATGCTAGAGAAGACAATCTTTGTGTGTGTGTACACTGAGGTGGGAGGGCACCTCTTGGTGCCATCTCTTTGGAAAAGTGCTCAACCATCCCAGGAAGATCCCCGGGCTCAATCTCTCATTTCTGCTCCCTCAGAACTGCTTGGTGTTTCCTTTAGTAAGCATGCGCCGTACATACTCTACCATACAGGTGTATTTACACGTGACGAGGTCTGCTAGGTCTCAGCAGAGGTCTCTGGTACAATGCTCCAATATAACAGAAACAGTTTTCGTGTTCAGAGTGAGGCGATCTTTGTCTCGTACTGCAGCTTAGGACAGTCTCTCCTCCTCTCGAGCTCTCTGTCACTCGTGCGCTCCCTCGCGTGGAACCGGCTGCTGCAAGGAGATAATATCTGAAGAGCGATGGAGGGGATGCGTGGCAAGTGGTACAAGTTCTCAGCTCCAGCTTAGCAGGCAGCAGCAGTGGAGGCAGGGGGAACTCCACCCCCAGGAGTGCCCCAAGGTCGGTCCTTGGCACGGGTGAGTCTGTTTCTCTCCGAGGCTGGCGAAGTTTTGGAGGGGTACAAACCTATGGCCGGGCAAATGCAAGGCAAGGGAGGAGGTTGAGGAGTAGCAAACGGAAGACACAGTGCCTAGAAAGCAGCAGGTCATCAAGCCTCTCAGGAACAGGGCAACAAAGTGCTACATGGGGACGGTGTGAGCACGGGAGGCCAGCGGGGCTGGCAGGATGTGAGGATGTGTGAGCATGTGGGTTGGCAGTCCCTACAGATGGCTCCTCACAATTAGCATCACCTTGAGGGGAGATGGGGTAAGAGTTAGGTCAGTCGGCTTTTTTTTTTTCTTTTCTATTTCTTTTACTAAAAAATAAATCACAAACTAGATCTCTGTAGGCAGAAAGGGTCCCAGGGAGGCGGTGGGGCAGGGAAGCGGGGAAGTCTGTGCTGTTCTGGTGCTGGTGGTGTGGCTACACGAGGCTGCGCGAGCCACTGGAGTACCTGCGCCTCTGAAGCAGGGAGCTGGGGGGGCAATACTGGTGGGGGTGGTTGTAGGGAGGAGGTGGAGGTGGCAGGGGAGGCTGATGGACCAGCTTCATGGGGGTCCCGGGGAGCCCGCTGCCCACACCGCGCCAGGGGGTGGAGGTGCAGGAGTCGGAGGTGACGTAGCGTGTCAGAGTCTGGTTGAGGGCCGGCTCCATCCGAGCGAGGCACGGCTTGTCCAAGACAATGACTTTGACAATCTGCTGGCACTGTACAAGTGTCCCCGCCGAGGCGGGGTGCGAGGGCACCAGTGCTGTCTCCAGCCGCTCCCGTGGCATGTTAAGACGCATGCTGGGCTGCATTCCACTCTCGGGCCCCAGGGCGGAGTTGTGCTGGTACGTTTGAAGCCTGTTGTGAATTGACACCTAGTTTAGAAACAGCCAAAGAAGCATTAAATGTTACAAGACTCTTCCCATCTGCTGCTACTGGCTGCCCTGAACCCCCACCAGCAGCTGGCCTCACATGCATGAAACCCTCCCCTCTTTAACAAAGGGAACAGGCACAACCCCTGGCTGCACCCCTCTCTCCCAATTGCCCCGTCGTCCTGTCTAGGCCTTAGTGCCCCTGTCCTTTCCGTCACAGCAAAGGCAGTAGGGCCAGCGTTCCCAAATGCAGAGCGACTTTGGTTGTCCAAACGGCACAGGGAACAAAAATCAACTCTATGAGTGGAGGCGTCCATGAATTCTCATGATGATGAACAAACCTCAGAGGTTATGCCCTTGCCCCTAGCTGCAAAAAGGAAGGGGAAACTAGGTAACAGAGGTTCAGATAATCGAGGCTGTATGTTTCTGCAAAAATGACGGTAGCTGAATCTGAGAGAGAGAGAGAGACAGAGAGACTCAAGCCTTTCGCAGCTCCCTGCCTTTCTGAGTAGGAAGGTACACCACATGACTGGCTAATCTGTTTACAAAGGAAAAAGCAGAAATCTGACACACTCTAGGAAAAGACAGCTCCCTCTGATCCAGTTGATGGTTTGTCAGTGAAAGGAAATGATTTTCAAAAAAAAAAAAAAAAGAAAAAGAAAAAAAGAAAGAAAAAATGTCTGTCTAGCTCATACAATGATAAAAGAAATTTATGATGAAATGGCAGCAGATTAGATAACCTCAAAGAAATGGAAATGCTCCTCTGCTGGCAGAGTATTGCTTGGGCAGTTGGAAGGGGGAAGGGAAGGAGGAGGTCACCAGGGTCCCCACAGAGAGATGCTGATAATAGAGTCACTCAAATAAGAGAGCTCACTGAGTCCAGCTTGAAAAAGGGAGCTGGCCTGGGCTGGAAATCCTCAGAGGGGGAATGCAGCAGCAAAATGGGGCTACCTGGATGGTGAGTGAAGCCACAGTTCCTCCTGGCAAGGACGTGGGCTGATGGAATCCCCAGAGCACAGCTCAAAACTCAGTGTCAGTCAAATGACAAACCCTGGGTAGGAACCTACAGCTCGCAGGTTGTCACGGCACTTCCAGCTAGGCAGAGGTACAGAAGGGAGGCAGATGGGGTTTTAGGGGTGTCCTGACAGTCTGTATGTTGGGCAGCAGAGCCAGCAACCATGAAGGAGAGGCTGTGGAGTGGCCAAGCTTTCCACCATGCGGGAAGAACGATGAGATGTTTGTCCCTGCCCAAGCATGGAGGTTGCTCGGGCTCACTGCACAGCAGGACATAACACCGTGTCAGTATTTATCCAGGCAGTGGAGCTGCCTCAGAAAAACTGGTTGCTGGCCCGTGAAGTGCTAATGACATTAAGATAAATGGAAGCTATTCTCCACAAAGAAACATTCGTCCCGACAGACACTGGAAGTAGGCTGGGAGAGGCACCTTGCCCAGAAAAGGGGAGTCTGCAGGGAAATGGGGTGCCCTTCAGGGGAAAGCAGCAGCACCCACACCCCACAGAGAAGCTGAACTCTTCAAGTAAATACGCTATGACAAGAGGGGAAAGAACTACCCCGGAAAAGGGCAAATTCAGGGCAACGGAGATATTCCAGACAGGGAAAGAGTAGGAATTAGTAAATGAGGTTTTCAGCGTGAAGACTGCATTTTCCTGTTTCCTCACAGGCAGTGGGAGTAAGGGTGTCTGTGAAGAAACAGGCAACCCACTGGATGCTAGACATCCCTGCTAAGATAGAAGCACACAGGACAGCCAAGCTCCCTACCTAGGGAGGTGAAGCTCTAGGGAGAGTCTCTGATATGCAAAGGCCATGCTTAGTCCCCTTCAAGGGGGGATGGAGAGACAGAGCTGCAGAGATTGTGCAGGAAAGCTGGGCTGCAGGGGAATTCGCATGTGATGCTGCATGGAGTTAGCATGTCAGGGAAGTCTTTAGTGTGGTTCTCAGTCTCCCCGTAAGCAGTGGGGTGGGTTAGTCTACAGCGTTTGGGAGCTTGGTCCATGAGGGATGTTACAGTTATAAAAACGGATTGAAAATGCTTTGAAGTTTAGTTTGGATTTGAAAGTTGTATTACCCGTCCTAGCAGTAACTTTTAATTGTATCTCTGGAAATTGGTAAAATTGTCAGTCTGGCTGGGGAGGCATTGATTAAAACCTGAGAAAAGAAACAACAGAGAATGTGAGAAGAGCTGAAGTGAGAGAGAATTACTTACCTCAGCTGCTTCGCACTCTACTTACCTCCACTGTGCTGTCCGAGACCTTCTCCCCCAAATCCTTCTTGCCTTTGAAATAAAAGAAAAGATCTCACTCATGGGGTCAGTGCCCCAAGTCAAGAGCTGGCCCTCATACTGTGGACTGGAAAGCCCAAGGGAGAGGTAAATGGGAGAGTAGGACTCTACTGCAAGATAAATGCAAGCCTTCCTGCAATCCGATAGCTGCTCAGTGGTTTGGGGGAAGGCCCCTGTGGGGTCCTATCTTTAGGTCCTGGTCTTCCGCAGTTCTAATGAGCTCATAGCCACCCACCACTGCACTTGATTTTTGCTGGCACAGAAGCCCAAGAGCCCAATGCAGACAAAGCCTCTGCTACAGAGAAGCTGGTCTTGCAAAAGTGGTGGTGAAGCCTCTGGAGGAAGTTGACATTGCAGTTACTGTGTTGTGTGAGTTCAGGGGAGAAAATGTGGCCATGTCCTCCAGCAGTTATCTTGTACCACTTACTAACCCCTCTTTGCTGGGTGTTACAGCTACAGACTGGGTAATGAGCCATAAATGGCTCTTCTAGGTTATTTGAAAAATGCATATCCTATTCAGTGAAGGCTACAGGATACAAAACTGATCACTTCTTTTTGCAGTTATTTTTACAGGAGAACACATTGGCAAAGGCAGCACTGCCTGGCCAAGAGGAGCTGGGTGACCTCTTACCTGTAGGTGAGCTTTGCTTTGACTGTGGTTCCATCTGGGCTCCGTTGGTCCTTAACGAGAGAGTTTTTGCCCCTTGCTGTTTCTCCAGCTCCCCTACAACAGAGATGTGCGGAAGTGAATGAGGAACAGGATGGATGGAAGGGCCATAGCATACTGAAGGAGAAATGTGGGAAGTCAGCAAGGAGAATTAATGCAAGAAAATGACAAGAATGTCAAAACAGGAAGGAGAGAAGAATAGCTAAGAGAGAAACTGGAAAGGATGTTACATGTGGAGGAACTTACGTATCTCCACAAGACCTCTGTGTATGACCTGCATTCATACAGAACAGGTTATTGCTGCACAGAAAGGGACCACTGATGCCAAGCTACTTGGGCTCATACGTTTATATAGAATTATTTGCATAGTCAGAGTATGGGATGGAGGAGTCTAAACTTCACCATTTCAAACCACTGTACCTTAAACTCTATTTCATAAGCACCATGAGTAGTTATTCCCTTTCTACTACTGGTGGGTACTCACAGAACCTGACTGCTTTTTCACCCTGTTGCTGAACACAAGAACAATCCTGTGTAGATTCTACTACTCATCCTCTTTATCCTTTTTCCCAAAGAACCCACTGATTTTACCCTTTCTCCCTGGTAGACACATGCAGTGTGATGGCATTGGAGTCTGAATTGTATTAGAGGCCCTTACATTCAATTCGTATCTGCTCCAGCTCTGTCACTTCTGCTATTGACTCTTTCAGATCTTCCACAAATTTCTGCATTTCCTCAGCACCCAGAGCACAGAAGTGCAGTACCTGTTTCTTCTCTGAGCCCGAAACTGGAGTCACCAGTGTGATGCCATGGGGGTAATCTGTGAAGAAGATGTGTCAACACAATAGAGAGGCATTAGGCTTTCTTGCTGGAGAAGTTGGCTGCTTTGCTGTCTGTCCAGGACAGAGAATTTCTAACATCAGTCCAGAGGAATAGCACAGTTAGAGTCTGTCACACTGCAAACAGCAGGAATTTGCAGCATTGCAGCACTCCAAGGGAACAGAATGGCCAAGCTGCAGTGGCAAGGCAAGTACTACCATAGTGCTGCCATAGCCAAAAAACTCTAGCTCTCAGTTACAGTCAGTGTAACCTTGACTGTGAGAACCTGAGCACAGAGGTGGGACTGTAAAGCCCTCCCGAGTCTGTGGAGGGGCTTATAGGATACACGAGACCAATGCTTTATCCTGTGGGAGTTGCAGCAGGACAGGTTGGCTCCTGGACTCAAAAGCCAGAACAACCATTAATGTCCACAGTGGCAGGACCTTTCCCCAGCCTCTACTTCCATCAGCAGGCCCTTAGCAGGGGTGTTAGCACAGCATGGGTGGGGAGCTCATCGTGCTGTGCAGAGTGGGAAGGAGAAGGATGTGGTTTTGCAGGTCTCTGTTTAGCAGTCCCCAACAGGCAGAACACACTGTCAGGAATGCAAATGAAAAGAAATGTCCATGAGGCGTGCAGGGAAGTTGCTAAGCTTGTGACTGGACTTTTCTGTCTTTTGGTCATTGGCCAGTGGTTTCAGCTCCTTTTCTCCTTCCCTTTCTCCTTTGTCTACATTTGATTTCTCTCTTCCCCTGTCCTTTTCTCCACTGCTCCTCCATCTGTCTGCCTTCTTCACCCTATGCCTTTAGCAATCTTTACTAAACAAGTTAAAAGATCAACCTGCTATTTTCTGCCAGCCCTCAGCTCCCTCTGTTTGTGTCCCAGGCCCCTTTTCCCACCCTGTGTCTTGTCTCATCTGTTCAGATCACGAGTTCTTTTGGACATCTGCTTTTCTGTCTCTGCAGAGGATACACAAAGGGATTCCTTTGCCAGAAGATCCTTGAGCACCCCCAGGATAGTCACCATACCCCTGAAAGCTGATCCCAGCTCTGATAGTCTGGGGATACTCAGTTATGAATGGCTCTTCTGTACATACACGGATGTGAAAACCACTGCGTGCTGCAGAGGGTAGGGGGTTGAAATGATGGCTCCCTGTCAATAGGATAGAGCGAGGGTGTAAAGAACTCAGTGAAGACACAGTAGTGCTTCCTGGCAGCATATTCTGCTGGTACTCACAAAAACCCCAGTGGGCATAAGCCGTGCTTGCCTGGGACCACTGTGCAGCCCCTCTGCCTGTGCCAGCAGGAAGCCTGCCTGTTTCTGGAATCCCTCTGCTACACAACCAGCCTCAATCATGACACATCGTGGCTCTCTTCCCAGACCATCAAGGTCAGGCTGACTAGGGCTGGCCTCCCGCCATGCTTTGGTGGGTGCTGTTCCAAGGGCTCTGCTTCTGTCTCAGGAAGCCTTCAGCACGGCACAGCATATCTCAGTGTGGGGAGGCTGCAGCAGCACCTGAGCTTTTATCAGTGCCAAAAGCAGAGGTGAGAACTGTGACTTTGGGCATGAGTGGAGAGGGGCTAAAGCTGGCAGCAGCAGTTTTGTCAGTGAGGTTCTGCACCCGTCGTTGGCTCCTGAGAGCTATGTGGGGTGTATCTTGGGAATGATTCCCTCATGAATCCGCACTAGTGCCTTCCCTGCCACTGTGACAAGTCAGCCCACTTCAATGAGCTAGAGAGAGGGACCAGGAGCCTCTTCCCATAACACTGTATGTCTCCTCAGCACCAAGTCTCAGTTTTGCCTCCCTTCCCATTTTAACCCTGATTGAATCCCTCTTCTGATGTAAGATCTCACTGAGCAATGCAGTCCCCTCCTTCCTTCTCCTTTTCCATACCAAACCCTTCCAGGCACCCAAGGAGAATCAGACTTACATTCATTCTCAAAGAGATGGAACTGCATCCCCAGCAGGCCAACAGACTTGCAAAACGTGTAGGTTGAGGAGCTTTTCTTCTTGGGGCAAAGCTTGAGGATCTGTTGGAGGAACGGATGCATCATCGGGCAGGGTGTTCATGAACAGCGAGTCAAGAACGATACAAACTACTAAAAGCACATAGGAAAAAGCTTTTTGCAGGCTCTGCTAATTGCACATGGGAGTAACACTTGGTGACGGACAGGCTCTTTGCCCAGAAAGCTGCCTGGCACTCTGCACTTGTAACAACACTTGAAATTCTGTATGCATAGCCCTGGGGCCCACTCGGGTTCTGTCCCCTGGATGCTGATTTTTTTATGCCCCTGTTTTTGATGTTGCAAGGGTAGTTCTCTTCACTGAGTGGCACACTGGAAGGCTAAGGGAAACCTGTCAGAAATACCTCAGGTCGGGAAACCAGAGCACATGCGCATACAATGCTGCCCTTGATCCCTCAGCACTAGTTCTCATGGGTCTGATTTATCGCATGGGATGGAGGGGCAGCAAGGAACAAACCCATTTGTAACATCCACTGTTTTATTTTGCCATTAAACTCAGGCCTTTTCTTCAGGTGCCTAAAGAAAACTTCCTTCTTGTTCTGCGTCCTTCCAGTCTCAGTGAATCTGTGCTCTCCTCCCTTTTGTACCTGTCTGAACTCTGTTGCAAGGTCCCTTGGGCAGGACACTTTAAAAAGTACTATATGTGTTTCAGGCTCCAGTAAGTTGGATATGCCATTCTACAGCCTCTGCAATAGAAGGTAATGGTTTTAAAGTGTCTGGCAGGAGACTTTTAAAGTGCATGGGAGTGCTCTGCCTGCCATAGTACAAACAGACAAACCAATGAACTCCCCTTTCACAAAATGAGTTTCCCTAGTAGCAAAGGGATGAGAGAGAGCGATGACATTACTTGGATGTCTGTGGGATGCAACAGTTTGCTTTTCAAAGGTCAGAGGAGTTTTAGGTTTGGTACATTTTTAACAGGGAAGGATCCAGAGCTGTGTCGTGCAGTATGGATGGGCGAGGAGATGGTCTGTCCCTAGGACCAGGGGGAATATCGATGTTGTGGACTGTTTTTAGATTACTTTACAGACACTGGGGGCTAGTTTTATCACTGCAGTGCCCAAATGCCAAAGCACACTCACCACCAGCAGGTCATTGAAGAGAAAAACTTCCCTCTGGTGAGCTGCCTGCTTCTGCACTTTGTTCACGTCGGTAACTTCATACAAACGGCTGCAGCAGACCAGCCGGCGATGGGGCACGGACAGGACCTGCAGAAGACCCACAAGAGCATGTGGGCGTTATGGGAGGTGCCAGGGAGGGTCTCCACCACCCTTAGCCCACACAAACCTGTCCAGTCACAGAGGAACAAGCCAGTTCTGCCCAGTTTGCCCACTCAATCATCTCACAACCACTCTTCACCACCACTCATCCTGCCAGCCCAGTAGCAGGGAGCCTTTGTGACTTGGATTAAATCAGAGGAGTAGAACAGGCTACAGGCAAGCCACCTGCTTATACATCCTGTCCTCATGTTCCTCTGACTTCAAGTCCCTGAGCTCATCCTCTCTCAGCGCACTGGACATCTGCATGTTTCCTGGGCACTGAGAAATGATTCTGCTCATTCTGGGTAAACAGAATGTTTCAGATCATTTTCTGCTAAAGAAGCAGTCTCTGCATTTGGAGGTCTCCTAACCCTGGCAATCCTTGGAGAACTCATTAGACAGAGGTAGGTGAAATTGTTTCCTATCACTTTGGCTTTCACATCCTACAGGCTCACGAGGCCTGAAAGTTCAGAGCACTGCAGGGCTATCACTGAAGTGTTGGCAGTCAGGACCTGCACTGGCAAGCAGGAGCTGCAGTGAGATTTTTGGGCAAACAGTTAATGTGTTGCATAAAGTAAACTCTGGCCAAGAAGATCCCAAAGAAGTAGGAAAGAAAGAGAAGCAAATGAAGGAGAAAAAAGAACTAATGCATCAAGGCAAGCAAGGAAATTATGATGAAAGAAAAGAAACATAGAGGAAAAAGGCAGAAAAGAGGGACAGTGAGGGAGGTGGGTGTGAGCAGGGTGAGCGGGTGCCAGCAGGGCTACAGGTGCTCACTGTTTTCATTCCAACTATGGATTTCTCCACTTTGGTAACGTAAGTCACATGGTCCTCATTGGATTTTAGCTCTTTCTGCTGGATCCTCTCATATATCCCCACCACCAGTTCCCGTGGGATGTCAGCACCATCGTCCACTCCTGCAAAACAGAGAAAATGTTGGGCAGAATTGGCGGGGAGAAAACAAAAGGGAAGAACTGGTGGTCCCAGATCTCTGCTGTGTGCAATGATGGGAAGGCAGAAAGAGAAATCTTTTACTTTAAGCTGTCTTCTTTCTTGGTCTAACACACCTAAAGCACCAAGAGCAGCTACTGACATATCTAAGACCAATGCAGAAGATTTCATCATTCCATTGCTCTGCATGGTGGCTCCTTTCCATTTGTTCCCTAAGGTTTTATGGCTACAGTTTCACATTCATATATCTTGGGCCACTCAGCAGCAACCCCTGCATTGATTTCATATAAAATTGCAAGTTCTAAATGTGGAGGAGATCTACAATAGGAACCAGCTGCTTCTCCTGCCAATGCAAGCCTCAGCTCTCCTAAATAGGAGAAACTAAATAGTAAATACTTGGTGGACTCCAACATTTGTTTTCTGTGAAGTCTCCTAGGGTTAATACCTTCCTGATAGTCTGCTTGTAATTTCCCTGTCTGGGGTCTGTCCCTTCCCTCTTTTATGTCTCCTTAAATAATTCTACAAATTTTGCTGTCCAGCCTTTGCAGAGCCTGGCAGAAAAGTTCTCCTTCATCCCTCCCTAAGCCACACACCACAAATTAAATTGCCAGTCTTTCCTCCTGCACTGAATTCCTTCAATCATTTTCCATTGATTTTCTCTGCTTTCTCTCCAGCTCCCTGGTCTGAGGCATACTACACTGATTGATGTCCTGCAAGTGAGGAGGTGTTGAGGAATGGAGAGACATTGTCATCTCCTGACTCCCTAATTCATGCCTTGGAAATATAGCCTGAATACTTTTTTTTTTTTAATTTTTGGTTGTGTTTTGGTTTTGGTTTTGTTGCTGTTGTTGCTGGCTTGGTTTGTTGGTTGGTTGGTTGGTTTTTTAAACACAGTGAAGCTTCTGGCCTATGTATAGAGCCAAAGGTGAGTCTGGAATGAACTGTCTCTCCTTGTCCACTACATGATCCTCATGATGGCTGAATTCCTGTTGTGATGTGAGCTGACAGATTTTCAAGTAACTCTAAGTGAAAGTTAACATTAAAAAAAAAGAAAAAAGAAAACCTTTTGAGTTAGTTGCTGTGATACTGAAGGGGATGAGGACAAAGAAATAAGTCAAAGGAACTCATAGTAGTCCAGGCTCTAAACTGAGATTTACACTGGGAAAACCTTGAAGAAACTTAAACTGAACTGTAGATGTGCAGTAAGAGACCCTTGGAAAACGGCTGACCTAGGAGCAAATACAGTTTGGAAATTAGTGTTTGTCTAGACGTCTTGTCAAAAAGGCTAAACAATACCAGGCTGCATTAGCAGATCTGAAAAGAAGGAGGAGGCAGTGGTTCTAAATATGAGTATGTTGTGACCACATCTGAAGAAATGCTTTTAGCAACCTATTACTGAGATGGGAAGGACCTTGAAAAATAGAAGAAAATTGACTTGGGGAACTGAAGTATCAGAAATTGCAAAGAGGTAATGTATGCATGAACCCTGTCAGGCCTGCAGTTACTGCAAGTAATTGCAAGCAATTAAGAAAGGGAAGTTTTAGCCTGAATAGAAGGAAAATGTGTTCATACATTCAAAGCAACAAGGAGGGCATGGGCTTGTGTAGTGGAATCCAGCAGGGTCTAGGAAGGACGGAGCTGAACAATAGAAAAATGTAATACAGCGGACTCCTTCTAAACAGAGAAATCCATTAAAAAGATGAAACCATCTCTTAAGGAAAAATGGTTTATTTCTGAAAAGGCTGGACAGCTTTCTGTAGAGGACAAAGCAGAGATTTGCCCCTTCCCCAGCAACCTACAGGACGTTTCAAAGCACCCTCCTCCATGTCTGGATCACAAAAACTAGCAGCAGCCCTGGCGAAAGGCAGCTCCACTAGGTTTTTGCTGCCTTCACCTCAGTAGGATTTAGAGCAGCAAAGAGGGCAAAAAAAAATGAAGTAGAACTCTCACCTCTCAGATTGCGAATGAAGTCCTCCAGCATCATCTTCCTGTCAGGCTTGATGTTGGGGCTGTACATGTCCGTATTGAGGAGGATGATTGCAAAGGCCAAGATGAAGATGGTATCTGGGTTGTGAAACTGCTGGACCACATCTGGGTTACACATGCAGTACCTCTGGCTGCGGCAGGAGGGATAAACACACTTAACGTGGAACATTACTGCAAAGTCTGCTGCTCCAGGGTGGCAATGGCCTCAGCACATGTGTATTGAATTCCTCCTTTCACTCCAACTCTCACACAAGTGAGAAGGAATTGCCTGCTCTCTGCAGGCCAAATTACCCACCAGTGGCTGAAGTTGGCCACTAAAACTTCAGCTTTTTTGTTCTTAGAAGCCAAAATAGCAAAGGGCAGTAGAGAGACCACTCAGTCTAAGAATGTAGTGGTAATGCAGCATGGGTCTACTCTAGCCTGACTTGCTAAATATAAAGGACTCCTCTGGATGCACCGAAGGAGCAACCCAGCACCCCTGCAAGCCACAGGACTGTTCTTCCTGTCAGTCACCAATGAACAGGGAATCCTTTGCTGGAAGATATGTCAGGGCTGGCTTACTCTGGCCCTTTGTGCCCTTCATGTCACTCAACAACCATTAAGGATATCGATATGCAGCAGTGGGACACAAGACTTTGCACTTCAGCAGCCCTTCCACGATCAGCTTCTTTAGGAAGAAGATCTCTGGCCGTTCATTACATTGCTGCTGCATGTTTTCTGTGCTGGGTGTGCTCTCTGCTTCCAGATAGTTGCAATAGTGGGGCCACAGAGCTCGTTTTCTTACCTGAAAGCTTCAATTAGCCGCTCAACCTTCTGTGCCTCCCCCTGCACGCGGATGTGGGCCTGGAATTTCCGCAGTGCCTCATCCAGCTCCATGCCTGAGAAGTCCATCTCATCCACCACGCAGCTGTGGAAAGGGGACACGGCCTTCGTCAGCACCTCCTCCTGGGAAGGATGCCAGCCAGGCTCCTTCATTGCAGTGCCCAGGCTGAGATCCCAAGGGAAATGACATGGGAAAGGCCCTGAGACATCACTACAGATGCCCAGATGGTTCTTAAAAATGGGAAAGGTTTCAGACAAGCCATTACTGCATTTTACAGCTGGTAGGCAATTCTTATGCCTAACCACATACATATGTGTGTGTGTGTATATCTATACATTATAATTTATATATATTATACCATACTCAACATATATACAATATATATAATTCACATATCTGTATTGATACTTCCTGTATCTATATAGATATTTAGGCAGTATATTGATGCAGATATTTAGAGACCTATATATGAACACCAATATCAATATTGGATCCAGATCCAGATCCATCTGTTTCTGCCTCTCCTGTCATCTGGCAATCCTTTTCACATTGTCCATGCCTCCTTTCCTCCCAGCACAGGCACTTGTTCACTGCCCGTTTATCCATTCTTCTCTTATCTGCATTCACTGCACTCATCCTCTCCTCACCTTCTATTCAGTCAAGCATACATCCTCGTTTGCAATCCATACGTTCTTCTCCACTGTTCACCCCAACCCAAACGCTGCAGCAACAATATTCACTGTGTCTTTAAAGGCCAAAGCTCACTCAAAGTAAATGTGAAACGGAAGCTCTTGTCTAAAAATAACATGACACCATTAGCTGGCTTGTAATATCAAGGCTGGGTAAAGCTCTGCTCATTTAGTCAGACACCAGGAGTCCCCATCAATTAAGTCTGTCCAAAGCACTATTCATTTTGCACATTTCTATCCGTTCCACACAATCTTTTCCATTTCCTCCATACTTCAGTGCCACGATTCCCTCTTATCACAGGAAATCCTTCGCCTATCACATCTGGTATTGCTTTTCCTTGACAGCAATACATTGCAGACTGGTAATTCATAGCCAACTTAAATCCTCAAAGAGAGGGATCCCTTCTCTCTTGCATCCTACTAAAGTATTCTCATTTTACAGAAGTCCTACTGCTAGTCTCCAAAATGTACTGCTACAGTTCTTCCTGTTTGTATTAGTTAAATCCTCTAGTTCTTATTCTTACTGCATGATATTTTGGTCTTCATCTGTAATGGCAACACCTTCCCCATGTGGCTTCAGCACATTTTGTTAGCATGCTCCTGGACCAGTTCTGTCCAGGTCATTGCCGCAAACATTCATCAAAAGACTAGACTCAGAAAACTCTGCTCATAACCTCCCTTAAGCCCAACTTCCCATCTCAGCAGAGCATGGAGGCACTAATGTCTGCATCAGCCAATTCTCTGCCCTGTTTATGATTCCTCTGCTAATATCTTTCTCTTCCATGCTCAACAAAGAATTTCTCATACCACATGCTTTACTGAAGTCTAGAATCATCTTCTGTATGTTCTTTGTCTAGAAAACCATTTTTTTATCAAAGAAAGACTGAATGAAGAATGAAATCAGAGGATGAATCTACTCTCTACAGGCTTTGGTATGTGCCATTTACCTTCTTGTTTGCCATTATTTCTTTCCCATAAATGTATTCTTAAATCTGACATTCTGATAGACCAAAAAATTAACAGATGCAAAAATCCCATTTTCTTTACACCTTCCTTAAGTATGAAATTACTAGTATGCTGGTATTCAGTCAAATAGTACCACCTGAACATCACAAACGTATTAAAAATTCAATGAATTCATATTTTCTGCCTCCATATCCTCTGGATGCTAATTCTACTTTTCATTCCATTGATCTTATCCTCTACATTGTGTTTGGTTTGCCTTTCTCACATTGCAAATGATAAACTGACCCCAAATGTAGGGTTAGGAGGAAATTTTCCCGTAGACAGCTTGTCTGGGACTGCATGAGGAATGTGGAAAATGAGGTAAGTGGAAAATAGAGGGGGAGGGGATTAGCTTTCTTCTGGATCCTTCCAATACCTAGTGTTCCTGGAAATTATACCACCTGAACCTTTGCTAATAAACGTACGTGCTCTAATCAGTTTCTTCTGCTTCCTTGCTGTGATATCCTGGAAATTTTGCTGTTAGTGTTTGCAATCGTTCTGCAGTTTGCTGTAGGCAGTGTTTTGTGAGCTAGGCTGTTGAATACTATGTGCAGCCTTGCTAGAACAAAAAATTGTTGCATGATGTCTCTAATGGGTGAGGGATACGGTTCAAATGCTCCGAGACCTCCTTCTATTCCTGCGTTCCCCCAGTGGTTCAAGAGCTGAGATATTGCTAAACCAGGGTAACACCCACAGAATACCTTACCAAGAGCTCTGGATGGAAGGAGGGTGTTCGGTATCTTCTAAGGCTGGAGTAGTTATAATCTCAACCAAGAAACATGGTCTCTTTCCCCACACAAATTCCATATAATCAAATGTAGGTGGTCAAGAGCAAGGGCAGAGAATCAACGGGTCTGCTCTCACAGGAAATCTTACACAAAATCTTTTTTTCCCTCTCCAGGAGGTGGGCTGTAGAAGCATTTACAAATCATTTCTGGCAGCAGTGAAAACTTCCTCTACTGTCCCTTTCCTTTGTTATTTTTATTTTTTTCATACTTGCACTCACTTGTCCCTTGGGTTGCCATCAAGGCATTCCGCTTCTTGGAACTTATCTTTGATACTAAGAAAAGTTTTTCTCTGGTTAGTTATTATCGTGTTCATAGCTGCAAACACCTCTGCAGTTGGACCTTTGTTATTATTTTGTAATCCTTTCTGATACATGATGTTTCTCAGCATTGACCCCAGTGATTTTGCTATTACTGTCTGCTTCCAGATGCATGAAAGCAAAGTCTGCACACAGTGAGATCTGCTCAGGTCATCCTAGTAAGCCCTATCCACCACCATTAAATCATGTATCTTTTCCTCCTTCCCTCACTGATCAGTTCATCCCCCTCCACGCCGTCTAGTCTAACACACCCTCTGTTTTATGTCTGATCTCAAATAATAAAGTCAACGCTCTTGATACAGAAGGCATCAAACCTCGATGAGGACAAGTAGTGCAAGGCAGCTGCTTATAGCTCTTTTCAAACTCAAACAGGTATTGCTACATGAGTTATGCACTGCTTCTCCTCTGAGAGTTTTGTGCACAGAGTGACAGATGGGGGTTTACCTTGTAAATTCTAAGCTGAAACTCCTGGGGGTCCCTTATGTTTGTCCCTCAGCCCAAAGAAGGGTGTCCCCTTGTCCTAGTTCCTGAGAGACATTGACCAACCTGAAAGGACAGGTTAGGAAAAAAGTTTGACTTTAGCAAATCTGAGCTTGCATTTGATTTACCTGTCAGAGCCTGTGCCAAAGGCCTGAGAAATAGCTCCTAGAGGAGCCACCTGATATGCTACTTCTTTCTGCTGCTAGACCGACAGTAAAATGAATGGTGGATTATAGTTTTCGGATATTTTTTGTGACACAGCGACGTCCATTCAAAGGGCCGGAGAGCCTTGTGCCTTGGGGCTGCCTTGTTCCTGCTCCTGTTCTAGGTGGCTACACGTTTTGCTGTCTTGCCTGACCTCAGGTTCCTGTGCCAGCTCCCATTAACTTTCTGAAGGCGCTGTCATGCCCATGTATGAACTCCCCTGAAATGTAATGCAGTTTCTCTATGGGAGGTCTTTTCTTCCCAAAACAGAGACCTTGGAAGCTGACACACAATATATTGGCAAACATACTGCAAAAAAGTACATTCATCTCATCAGCCTCCAGGGCTGCGATGTCAAAGGCAGCAGAACCACATGCATGAGGAGGCTGTCTCTCCCTCAAACTGGATTTGCCAATGTAAAAGACAAAGGATGAGCAGAGATCCTCTCTGCATCCAAGGAATAAACCAGCGGCTTATGTGTATGTGCCAAAACCAGTGCTGAGTTCATTTTTCCACAAACAGCAGCATGCCTGTGAGATGCCTATTCCAGGACCACCAGGAGGCCTGAAGGATAAAAAGCAGGGGTGGAGGAAATGCCTTATAAAATCTCCTCCTGTTTTAGTTCTTTCTCTCCCATGGACTTGCAACAAGCAATGCGAGTTTTGCTCACAGGACACCCACAGATGTGTTTAGCCCACTACCTGCAGGACAGGACTTTGGACCTTCGGTTCATGTTGCTGAAGTGAGGAAGAAAGGTGCTGGCACCTTGCCCCATAAACAACGCGGTGCCGGCTATCCAGGGGGAGCTTGGTCTGTCCCGAGGCACTCAGCAGGCTGGGACCACGTAACTGCAGAGAATTGCACTCCCAGTGTCAGGTGATGGGACCAAACGGTGGGATCCAGTTGCACCATTTTGCCCTGTTATGTCCATGGTGGCTGTGCTGCCTCCGAGGCTGCAGGGCATGGGTCCCCCCAAAAGTGGGTGGACATGGTGGCATCGGGGCTGTGAGGATTTAGCACAGGGCTAAGCATGGCAAAAAAAAGCCTTTCAGCAAAAGGATTTAGAGAAGGCAAGAAGCAGCTGTATCGTGTGGGGCTGGGATCTGCTTGCCCAAGCGTGATGACCTATTTTCCAGCTTTTCCACTCAGGTGACAATGCAGCAGGAGCTGGGCTGCAACTAAAAGCGTCCGTACTGAACCTGCAGCCCATGCTCAGGGAGGGGGCAAAGCGGGAGGCAGTCAGGTGGAAAGTTTAAAACCACGAGGCTCGAAGTTACTAATAAAAGCTGTCCCTCTTCACAGCATCCCCACCCCTCTGCTCTTTCTGAAGACAAACCTGGCTTAGGGTGAGCAGCAGAGGAAGAGGTCAGCTCCCTGGGAGAAGGCTGCCCTGCAGGGGTTTACTGGGGCTCACAGTAAGAAAAGTGAGTGGGGCTCACTGACTACATTGACTGGTGTCCCAGTCCTGCCCTCCATGCAGCACCTCTCCCTGCCCTCCTAGTGCTAGGGCAGCCTCTGCAATGGACCCCATGGCCCACACCCTCTGAAGGAGGTGCTGTGCCGCACATGCTGCCTGTTCTCCTCTGGGGCTGCCGTGCCTA